AGAAGGTCGTCCCAGAAAGGGTCGCCTGAGGCACTCCACGTTTCTGAGACGCCTCATTCTCTGAGAGGCCTCTATAAGTGATATCTAATATAGCCTCAGCTACGTCATCTTCGGTATAGTTACGACGAACCATTGCGGAGGGAGTTCCGTTGAGTAAATTAGGTGAAAACTCGGCTTGAGTACATGGCGCCGCATAGGGTACATGAGGTGAAATGCAAAAGAATTCAAACGACTATGGAACCAGGCCACGGGGCGGAACGAGGAAAATTTAAACCAACGTAAAATTCTACGAAAAAAGCAATATAGTACAGGTCTTACTTTGCAAGTATCTTTATTCCTGGCCGAATACGGTGTAATTGAAAATTTGGATTTTGTATGGACGGAGCGAAATTTTGGTTATCCATTAGGTGATCCCGGATGGCATTATAAATATCTATATCTACCCAAATTTTCTCACTTGAGCTAGTAAAATTAGTAGAAAGGGAATAGGATTAATAACATTAACCTAAGCATAGATAGCATTAATATATATACCAAATAAATAAACAGTACTGATTTTATACTAAAGGGAGTAATATAGAAATAGGCTTATTAATAATGATTTTAATAGAGGATTAAATAACGGCTAAGAATTTATCTAGCTATTAGATTAGTTAACCTAGTAATATTTAGAGGGAAATTATTAGAGCACCAGGCTCTAAATTTTCTTACCAGTGTCACAGCGCAAGACTAGGTTACCCTAGACCCGCATGTCAGAACAGCTATTCGGCGGTGAGCACATCCTTCCTTTGTCATCTTACTTTCTTGGCATGCAGATGTTAAGAAAGTAGCCCTAATTACACCAATCTTCTACATCTCTATTGATCCTCCCACTTTCACTGAAAGTGGACGTTTCGCATTGTCATTGGCTGATAATCCCTGTACTTACCCCGCATTCCACTTTCACTTGAAAGAGGCTTCTACTCTAGTATTCAAGTCGGTAACGGGGCCCGTTACGGGTTTTACGCCAATTAACGGTCTAGAAATCAACAGGGATTTCCAAAACTCGTAACGGGCCCCGTTACTGTTAGATTGGCGGCTGGGAATGAGCTCCACTTCTCTTATTGCAATATTAGTATCCAAAAGAGCGGTGAAACCCCTCACAGACAGACTGATCAAAGAATTAAGTCGACAAGCAATAACATCACCCCATTCTGGTCCACACTTGGATACACTCACCCTATCGTATTCGTGCGTATCTAACAAATAATCAACTCTACTAAAGTTGATTTTGGTATGTAGGACTAGGCTGGATCTGAAAAGAGTACATGCTCTTGGCATAGAAATCCAGGCATCAGACCACGATGCATAATCATGATTTATATCCAGAGCCCAACACCATCACGAGACCATGACGAATTGGAATGTGGCAGAGGAAAAACAAGATTCTGCATCTTGTTGAAGTCGATGAAGTCGGTGATCTGATCTGAGGCTTGAAAATAAGGCCTTCTATCTCCAAAAGAACTACTGCTGCATCACCGTCCATCATACCGATCCATAGTTTGCCTTGCTGTTTGTCACTCCATTACACAAACCCGATGCAACAAGGTTGTGGCGATCGACGATCATTTCGTTCAATACGACCTTGTACTATGGAAAAGATTCTTGATATCGATTTTTGTACGCCGATGAAAACCATATTGCATATTGTAGATCTTGGACTATCTACTAAAATATGCACGCGATAATTGTTTAGGTAGTGATCCTCGAGGTATTCAATAGTCAAAAAAAAAGTGGCTGAACAGGTGCTGTTACCCTATTGGATCCCCTTGTTGTGACCGTTGGTTAGATGAGTAGTAGGGATATCGAAATGCAGACTATCAGACCGAGTCCCAGCCTAATTGTCACATCGTGAGGCTGGTTGGACTTTTTGAAGTGTAATCAACCTCCGTGAAAACACGGAACTTCTTATCAGAGTAGGTGAAATGCAGATCACTCTTGTTTTTACCTCCCTTAGCAATTAACCTTTCGTAAATCGAGCCCACGGTGATCAAGGGCCTCTAAGACATTCAATGGGCTTTGGCTATCCATGACAGGGGTATAGCCGCATGTCAGTATTGCCACATTTAGTAGTTAACGTTTTGATAGAAATGTCCTAGTTTTTTTTTTTTTTTTTTTGGGGGGGGGGGGGGGGGGCTAAATTGAGGTATTGTTGCGGCACATGCATCTATCCACTTCTCTTCTCGACCGACAAAGCCTGTTTGGGTCTCCCTGTAAGCATTTACGAGGACGCTTTACTAAGTTGAGGAGGGATTTTCAACTCAAAAAGTAGACGCAGAAAATAGCGTCAGTAGGTCTTGAAGTCAGACGCCAGATGTAACGTTCTTTGCCCTCTTTCTGGCCCGTGCGTTTTCTCCGCATAATATCTTCAGCTAATTCTGCCCTTTAATATTTCCGTCCCATAAAATTGCAATTAGAAGCAATGATCATCGGGGTCAAGCCACTGGGCTGAGACCTACGGCAATTGAGTCCAATAAAAACTCACTCTCAGCCTCCCTCCGGGCTACCGGCAATAAGGCATTGTGCTGTAACTTTGAGGCTAGACTAGCCCTTTGCCGATCACTACATAATCCAATAACGGGCAGCTAAGAGAATTGAACCAGGAACGCGTGGTTGTCGTGGCTGTCTCGGTCTAGGACATTGTTAGCGGGTCGTACATGAAAAAAAGTAATTATGCCAAGTTTACTGCGGGTTAACCCCATGATGGCTGTGGCCCCATTGACTTGACCCATAACTAAGCTCCAGCCAGGACCGGGAGGAGAGATAAATGAGGGCGCTTGATGCGGGTGGTTCTTTGACGACGTGGCTATCCCGAGATCCTTGTGTCACACACGAGCAATCCACTACACTCAACGTTTATGCTGTGCATTTTCAGGCTTGCAGCTTTAAGAGTGTCATTTCTCATGCAGAGTAGTACTTTTGGGCCTCGTGGATCACTGCAGTTAACCGCGGAATTCGCGGAACCGCAAGGGGAGGTGCATCCATGACGATGCCACGTCTTGTCACGGAGCGAATGTCCCGGGATTGTTCCGGTATGTTATTATCTTGTTTTACGGCTTTATTGAAGCTCAATTGAAGCTCATACTATTCTTAGTACTTCAAGCCCTGAAATTGGACCTGAATGCTCTGAATCCCCATAATACGGGCGCTAATCAAGATAACGGGGCTATCCGTGAAAATTTACGAGAGGACTTCGTCCTACAATACTAAAATATTAGTGGCATAGGCAATTAGAGTCGTACTGTTACGCAAAAGTATATTGAAACAATGCAACATCCCTGTAAGAAATTGGAGATGGAAAAACATGATCTGAGCAAGGGAACATGGGTAACTCCTCGTCCCGGCCAGGTACCGAGTGGATGATGAAGATCACAGAGCAAGGGAGCATACAGCTCTCAGTTGAGCCCCACTAACCGACCGGTGCAGTGATCGCCCCGAGTTCCGCAATGTACTCTAAGTCGAGACTCAGCTGCGTGATGCCGGATATCGTCATGTTGTATTATGGCTTGCAGTACCGGTAGTATATTATACCTATAGCACTTTATATAAAAAGATGCATCGCGTTCTGGGGTAAACCCCTATTCTAATTAGCACTACTTTCCTATATATAGAAGAATATCAAATTAACTCTATATTATGGTAATAATCAACCCTACTAGGGTTAAAGTAGGTTAATAAAATCAACTCTACTAGAGTTAATTTAGTTATTAATTACTAGAGTAGGTTTTTTACTACCCTGCGAACAAAACATAAGGCAGCTCTTGAACCAATATCCACGTTTAGCGTAAATGGCTACCCGCCAATTAAACGCAAGAATTGCATAACTCATACAGCCAAACTGGTTGCAACCACGGCGGTACGAGCTGGCGAGTTTTGTTATCAGAATGACGTACGCTACAGGTGTTGGGTCGTTGATTTGTTTATAAATGATGTTTTATCCTTGCAGCTGTGTTGCGTTGGGAGCTGTATCAAGAAGAATCTATACCCTGGCCCTCCGGATCCTCGGTATCATTCTTTCTAACCCATTTTTCACACTTCCTCTCCGTTCCGTTTGAGATTCAATATACAACCAAGTTACCTTTGATCGAAGTCTCCCGTAGAATAACCAGCCCCTGCGTAAATAACTATGCAAGCTTTCATTATTGGCTCGAAGTCTAAAGTATCAAAGACTCAATGGCAGCAGGGATGCTTGGGAAGGCCATTATCATTAAACGTCTCATGTTGACCCATGGCTTTCTGCCATTTTGGCTGTTTTTTTAGGTTTTTGGCCCCTTATCCTTCTCCAAACACAAATCCCAAACTCCATGACTGTATCTGGCAATCGGCTCTATTATAGAGATCTTCTGGCCTTTAATTATTAGCTAATTATAAAGCTTTAGCTAGACTAAACACAGTAAAGCTATAACTAGGGTCTATTGTAATAAGAATCAGATAAATCTCAGGGTTAACTGAACATTGTTGCAGCTGGTGAAATAAACGTGTAAAGGAAGCTTTAATTACTTGACCAGATACAGTACATACTTTGATTTGAACTTAACCCGCGGGAAGGCTGTTTTCCCAAAAAGATAAATTGACCAATGACCTAATAGCGCCACGTTAGTGCCCCGTGCAAATAAAAGGTGAATTAACCAATTCGCCATTACAACAAGTAGTAGGGCTTAACCTTTATATATAAAATATTAAAATTAAACTTTATTTCGTTGTCTTCTTTAGAAGTGAAGTTGTCTCAATCTAATGGCTTATGGTGGTGTTGGGTGAAGTGTTCAGATTCTTTTAGACACTAATTTTAGCCTGTTTAATTATCCTGCGCTTATGACTTTTGTCTCCACATTTCATTCGTAAGCAGATCGATTCTAGGAATCACATCGCCGACTTCCCCGCTTCTCTTCTACCTGCGTTATTTATTTAATTCTTGCTCTATCTTGTTGACCCGTGTCAGACTTTCCTTAAGGGCGCTGACTATGGCCAGCGGCAGATTGCAATTAATAGTGGAGCCAGCGCCTCCAGCCTCTGTGCCATCCTTGTCCTTTCACGTCTTTCCCTACCTCCCTGTCGAGCTCCGGCTAAAAATCTGGCGCTACTCTTTCGTTCCCCGTTGCGTCGAAATTCACGCCCGCAGGTCGCATTACGCCGATGACTTCCAACATGGAGGTGTGCCAAAATGGCAAAGCCGATGTAAAAATCCTGTTGCGCTGTCAGTAAATTCCGAGGCGAGATCCGCCGCATTGGATTGTTATCCCGTCAAGCTCCCCCTTGCGACTGTTGCGCCATATGAGCATGCTGGCGATAGCATAAACGACTTGAATCGTGTGTTGTATATTAATCCTGCGGTTGATACCCTCGTTGTACTTGGTGATCTGGACTACCGCAGAATGTCGCGACTACTATCTGGCTTGAGTCTTCGTGATCCGAAGGGAAAAGGTTTGCAGAGATTGGCTGTCAGCGCTAGCTGGACGTATCATCAAGGAGCTGGGGATACGATTAGAATGCTTGTTAAACATATGTTTCCCGAGCTTCTTGAGCTGACTGTGTTTATGTACGCTGAAAAAATGCCCCCCATTGATTGGGCTGGCGGAGTGTGCGCGTTGGAAGATTGTAGCGGGACAGACTACTACAAGCGCTATGCAATGGGAAGAGGCCAACAGATGAAGGATGGGGATAAATGGATGGTGATTGGGAAGAAAGAGATACGAGTAATGGAGCTCACTTTCAGGCATGGATGGTAGTTGAAATTTCCTTCGATATGATAGGTATCATGTAGCCAGAAAGTTCCTTTGTTCGGATTTGCTCCTGTTTCTTAGCGGTTATTAACATAAATAATTTCTTGCATGTACTCGACTTTCTTTGACTCTTTGCTTGCACTTAACTGGATCATGTGCTCATCTTTTGCGCCTATGACATAAGTTCTCAAACGACTATTCGGGCTTTAAATACTACGCTTAATCAATCACTCGATGTAATCTCCTTTTAGGAAACACATTTCGAGCTATACGTGATTGTAGTATAGGGTATTGTGTGCCGGTACAGTAAGCGAGTATACAGGAATTCTCTATTTACAACAAGTTAGATGTGTGGGTTACGTCTAGACAGCCTTCGGCTCATATACCTGCTCTGCTAATCTCGCCACGCAAACCATCTTCACTAATAGCTAATATCTTGCTTCTAATGCCTAATTCAGGAGGTTTTAGAAATAAATTCAAGGTGGCGGCTTGGACAGCCTCTAAGATGTTGACGAGACGGGTTCCAAAACAACAGCCACCACTGACATTTCCTGCAACACGACGATCAATTTCGGCCATCAGCCGCATAATATCATGGATATTCGGGGGAGGAGTGACATAATTGGCGCTTATTTGAGTAGAAGGCGGCCTTTTGCTTATCAAAGAGGTCTATTTCGAACTGTTTGATCACTTATGCGAGGCAGATCTCGGGCTTTAGCAGCACAATCCTTTCCAGTAGAGTAGACATGGTAGGCGGTTTAGTGGTCCTTTGAGGAGCCTAGTCACCGGGAATCGCTAATAAGTTAGTTAACTGTCAATGATCTTCTATTAGAGCAATTAAGAAAGACGAGGAAGCGAGGAGAGGGAATAGATAGGAAGCCGGATTGCACGCGTGAGGGGTAGATTGGCCCAGGTTCGGCAGACAAAAGCACACCACAGCCGCATCAACCACCGCCATTTACCGCGACTCCTGCCGTCCTAAATACGTCACAAGTCTCATGCACTTTTAAGCATGGAATTTCGCGGCATATGACCTAGTCAGACAAAGGATACTCTTACAAGATGCACTTACAGAATCACGGTTGAGGCAATACATGGCCTAGCGCCTTGACCCGCATGCCCAATTTGATGGAGGATTTGACTTAAATCGCCTGCGAATGATTACCTTGGATCGATTAAGAACTGGGGGCGGGAAAAGATATTATCATCAACCATCCATATTTAGAACTTTATTGCTTAAGCGCAAAGTAGTAAGAAAGAAGATTCGAAAGGAGATAACCTATACATAACTAGGGGGAAATTACTGTTATTAAACCATCTGATCTGCCGTGACAGGGCTGCGTTGCGTGCACGGGCCACGATTTCGTGTATTAGGACCTGATACGGGAGGTAATTGGTACAGTAGGATTCGTCGTCTGGTGGCCCCGATGTGACGCCTTACGGAAACTCACATGATGGTCTGTCCTACGCTCTGCAGAGATGACTGGTCATGGCGTAGATAGATCATTCTGGCCCGGCGTTGGGTGATTGTGGGGTATCAGCCAGCAAGTTCGGACGAGTTTCTACCAAATCATCCGCCAATTTCAGTCCATGTCTTTTATTTTGAGACATCATGTGATAGATTAAAGCAGTTAGTATATACCCCATCACAGCCAGCCATATCCAGGTTTTCAGCTGACTCTATACGTAGCACTGCAGCATACAGCGAATTAATTGTCCAATTGTATGACAATGGAACTTTGCTCGAGTCCCTCGCACATAGCGCACAATTCTCATTCGTGGCTAACTAAATATGACGCTAACTCCGGCGTGTGTGAGAGAGGACACGATATCCTCACTTGAATAGCCGCACAATATCATTCCATCCTTTGAACCCAGGCACATGATTTTAGGCTCTTTCTTAAAGGCCCCAAATCTGGATCGGAATTTTTCCATATTGAGAGGGTTCTTTTGCTGCCGCACCTTTTCCGACACCAAGAGTATTTCGTAGAAATCGCTTCATCTTGGCCAGCCAATCTTTTCGACTTGAAAGATCAAAATCAACAAGAACAACCTGTTCCAGGCACAGACCAATAGTTGGTAAGCCTTGCATGAGGAGGTATCCTAGAATACCAGGAATATCCTCCGTTCGGTAATGTCGCGAATGCTTTGTGGTGTCAACGACAAAGGTTGAAAGACAAGATTCGCATAAACGATCGACGAACGACACAATTCGAGACTCAATGTTCTTTTGATGAGATGAGATGGGGTTGATTATGGTTTCACTTCTTTCGAGGATGCTGTTGGTAAACAAAAGCGCTTGGTTGAGAATCAATCGAACTTGCCAATAAAATCTCCATATGATCTTGACAGTGAGAGATGGGTTGTTGTGAGTGTTGAGAGGAGTCCATGTACCGATGAGTAAAGGTTTCAACCACTCAGGTTGAGAATTAATAGATATTGCCTCGACTGTGCATCTCAATGATGAAGGCAAACTCCAAGACCACTCTTCAAGCTGCTTGTCCAGTGACATGGCTTTACCTGCAATGATGGATAATTGCTTCCATCCATGCTCTGATTGAGGGAGGAAGAGTGCGGTTCTCCATTCCGCGCACAAACATGCAGTTTTGTAGATTAGCTCCATGTGGTCGTCGATATGCGGTAGCTTTCGGAGCTTGAGTTCATTAACCGGGACAGAAGGCGCTTGGCCAGTCAAGAGACTATTATGGATCTTGACTGATATTAGTGTCGCATTTTTAATGGGAAAGGAGAATTTTGGGGTATACCATTTGTAAGTATATAACCATTGAAACCTCCTCCAAGGCTGCAGAAGACTCTTCTGTCGTCTCTTGCCCCTGCATCTTCAAAAGGAGGGTTGCACCGCCCAGGTGAGAAACCCAGCAGCCTTCCAAGGCAACAGATTCATCTATCAACAGCTAGTATAGAAGTTAGTGAGAACTTTCGATGACCAGTTTCATTCACTTACCTCATACATGCAGAGGAGTACGATCGAGGCCATAACATCTTGGTTCGATGCCAGTCCCACATTGCTACTCAGTGTGTTTTTCAACATGTGTATAGACTCTCCGTACCATTCAGCTGCTTCTGTCAGTGCTTTAGAGCAATTAAATCTTTGCGCATAGCCTGCATTGGCCAAGGCGTTGATAGAGTTATGCAAGAGGCTATTCACACTAGACTTGGCATACATCCAAGGAAGTGAGTTGAACCAAGAGATGATACTCTCGGAGCCGCCATCCGATTTAACGACCCAATCAAAGAAGAATCTTTCCAAGATATGGGGATTTGGAGGATTTAGCTGCTGAATAATGGGTCAGCCCTACGAGTTTGTGGGGGTGAACAAGTATAGTGTGTATGGCGGACTCAATGCCTTACCATATCGCAGTTCGTGTCTGCTGTGGGCATCGCAACATTCTTAGTAGTTAACGCTTTCGCTTTGGCCTTTTCGACTACCAGTTCAGTCTGCCATCGCCATGTCCGCTCAAACTCATCACGATACTTGCAATCCACGGACCGAATTTTGGCACATTGCCCGCAAATTGGCTTCGTTTCGTCGCACTACATCAAATCAGCCTTAGCCCTACGATCGACAAGTAAAAGTGGTGCAAACTCTGATCTTCTTGCTGCGGCAACGGCTGCAGCCAGCACTCGGTAAGCCTCTCGATCTGATTGCCATTGTCTCAATATCGGATTAGGCAATGCGTGCGAGCAATCAAAGGATTTGATCGGGTTTTTATTGATAACCCTGCTCTGCCGCGGGAAGCCAACTAAGCTTCGTGGCAAGCGGGATGAGGGGCGTAGCACGGCACTTCGTGGATCCGTAAGCTATGCTAAACCTCGTTGATCCGGCGAAACATGACGATGAACATTACGATGTCACCTATCAAATCGAACTAGGAGCGGCCGACCTGCATATAAACCCTGACAGTCAGCCCCTTGACCTTTCATATTGACGCGGTGAGATCTAAAATGACAAGGGTTTCCTTGATCTAACCGCTTATCTTGGAGGATAAGGCACTAGCTTGGTGGAAACAGCCAAGGCCACCCACCCAGCTCATTGGGTCTTTTTACGGCAGTTTTGCCAGGATTTACGGAAATAATACGAAAGTTTCAATCAGCTTTAACCTGATTGGAGGGGATATGCAAATGAACCCATAATTCACCTCCGTCGGCGTAACAGTATCCTCCTTTCCTCTGTTATAACCGTATATCCGTCTTCTGTCCCGCCTCGACGGCCTTTCAAAGACCAGCAAGCCTTGTTGTAGATTGGGCTAACAGTCGGTGCTTAGGTAGGTAGCAAAATGACCGGCATTCTAGAGCTATAGTGATAGAAATATTAGACCATCTCAAGGCTAAATTTAGCCTAAGGTTATTCTGTATTTATAACTAGCCTTACCTTGTAATCCACCTGGTGCTATGGCCGCAAGTGCAGGGCGGCATTTGCGGCATTCCTTCGGTGGGCACTGTCGATCATTTGATGCTCTCGACTGGGGGATGGAAAGATAGCGAGAAATCTTTCATTGGAATACACTGGCACCTATTTACATATGCTTGGATATGGACATATCTACTTGTCTCCCTACGACGATTTCAAGATTGTGGTTAAGTATTGACCAATAGAGTTGCCCTTCGAAACCCTGTACAATACATACCGATGTGTGACAGGCGGATGTTAATAGAGTCAAAAAGCTTATGCGGCTGAATAAGCACTTACTATCCATATTCGCTCTGCTGCAAAGACTTTTGATTCGCATGCTATATGACATGTCACTCGAGAGAAGTAATTGGCAGAAACTGAATGTATTTCCCAGAGTAACTGGCTAATTTGAGATACACTCCTTGTCAAAAGAGGCGACGAGAATGGAAATAATGGGCGTGGGGTCTGGCATTCATAGTCCTCACCGCCTGCGTATAACTATGTACAGTAAATTGTTGATTTCCTCCAATAATCCATCTGTCGAAACGCCGACTTAACCCAAGCAGACAGCAGTACCAGAACGGACCTTGCCAATAAGCTCAGGCGAGCCGTCCCATCGGTAGTAACCAGCCTCATATCGCTTGCACTGTCCATCCATCTGGCTAAGAGCAAAGTCGATATCAGCAACATCAACATTGCCCACACTGAAAGGAGCGTTGATGCAGTAGTAGACGTAAACGCCTCGGGCGTTGTAGCCGAAGTAGTCGGGCTTGTCGCCGGCACCCCAATCATGGCCTGTACCAGCCCAGTTCTTGAGTTGCACAACAGCTGAGTCCACACCACTGTGGTCGAGCTCGTAGCCCCAGCATGAGGTTTCACGCTTCTCAATGGAGACAACAGATCGCTTTTCATTGGCAGCAGATTCGTTGCCGAGTCCGAATTCATAGGACTCGCCAGTCTTCAGGTTGGTGACGGTAGTAGAGCCATCGTCATGGTTGACGCCCATGTAGGGACCATCAGGGAGATTTTCCATGCCGAGCCAAGAGCCAGTGGTGGCAGTGGTGAAGCCGGCGAGGGCGAGGAGAGGCAGAAGTTTGAACTGCATGTTGCTGAGTGGGGTAGTTGTTGGTGAAGGGTTTGTGTGAGATGAGAGGTTGATGGAGTGGGTGAGTTGGGATAGATTGATGCAGAATGTAGACGCCTCTTTATAGTTCTCCCAAGCATATATTACTGCGCTAGAAACTCAAAGGCATGTTCGCTGCCTTCATCCTGATGTAGACATATGCCTCAATTGTACACTATGGTAATTCTCTGACCAGGGTGAACACAAGTATCGTTTGCTCATCCTATTCGTTGGCACATTGCTATGTCGGCACTCTTTTCTATGCCTTCAAAATGATACTCTCCGTGCCTCGGCAGCATGCCGTATCTTGCCCAGCTGTGTTGTCAAGCAGAAGAGATATGTGGAACTCCAAGCATATCCGTAGAGAAAGATGGTTTATACCTTGCTTGCAGAGATCCTCCAGAACTTAGTCAGTCAAAAGTGCCTTCCATTCAGGTAGCTGGCGGCTCCAGGTTCTACTCATTGGGAAGGTGACTAGTTCACGATGCCACTTTGATGCATCGCGGTTAAATTACAGGCAGAAGTCTGTGCCCATAGTCTATTTATAGTCTATTGCCTAATTGGGAAGGGAGTGCGAAGTTGCATTATATGGTCACATCGGACCCTTTGGGGGCTAAATTTCCCTTGCAAATTCACCCACAAAGGGGCCTTTGGAGGCTAAATTTCCCTTGCAAATTCACCCACAAAGGGGCCTTTGGAGCAAAGTGCTCTGTTGCATTCAAGCATCACATGCCCTCGTAGTAAACCTTCTTCATGTCCGACGTATGATCACTAAATTAAAACCTAGTAAAATGAGAGCTTTTTGTGTATATCGCACCATTCAGGCGTTAAGACTCCGCTGGAGAGTACACCTTCTGGTTCTGGAGTAGCGCAATATCTGGTTGTCGACCTTGTTGTAATCAAGTCATGATGGGCAGCCTCTTTTGTTCCGCAGGAATTTTTCAAAAATCCCTAATCAAAGCTTAGCACTGAGTATGAGGTTAATATTTGTCGAGTCTCATTTCTAATACCGTTCGTCTTTGTCAAACCCCTGATGAGCTTTGCGCATTCCACTCGCAGTGGCTCGCTTGCTGTTGAACATCTGGCCTCCCAATTGGCTAATCACAAGTCTCACTCCACTTTTCAACCCCTTCCAAGGCTGTCATCATGTTCCTCCCTTCAGTTCTCTTCACCACCATGGCTTCTTCAGCAGTAGCGACCAATTTCCTCAATCATGACCAACTGCTCAAAGACTTGGAAGATCGTGATTGGTTTGACAAAAACATACCTATCCTGGATGTCCCTGATAAGCAAATACAGGAAGTCTACTACTACCGCTGGCAAGTCTACAAAGAGCATCTTGTTTACACTGGAGCCCAATATAGTTATATGGCCAGCGAGTTCTTGAGCCCTGTCAGCTACGGCGCTACTTATGGTGGTATCGTGGCTGCCGCTGGTCATCACATCACTGAAGGTCGCTGGCTGCGTGATACCAAGTACGGACAGGACATCGCAAATTATTGGTTGTCAGGGCCTGGCCAATTCCCCAAACCAATGAGGGACGAAGTCAATAAAGATACGTCAGACTGGGCGCACGAGTACAGCTTTTGGGCTGCCAGTTCCTTATGGAAGCAGTACTTGGTAACAGGAGACCGTGACTTCATCGTTGGCCAGCTCGAAAATCTCGTGAAGCAATATCGAGGCTGGGACAACCACTTCAACGATGCTCTTGGTCTTTACTGGCAGGTTCCCGTTTGGGATGCAACAGAATATACGGCCGCGTCCTATGAGTCCAGTGATCCCTACCATGGTGGAGCTGGCTTTCGACCCACCATCAATTCTTACCAGTATGGTGATGCTGTAGCGATATCGCGAATCGCTGCTTTGAGGGGCGACTCCAATCTGGAGGAGGAATACCGAAATCGTGCTGAAAGTCTGCGAGTTACCATGCAAAAATATCTTTGGGACAACAACAGCAAATTCTACAAGCATCGGGCTCGCGACAGTAACCCGTCCGGTACCTTGCTGGGCACCCGAGAAATCATGGGATATCTTCCTTGGACGTTCAGCATGCCCAGTGGCGATTCCAAGATGGCCGCATTTTCACAGCTCATGGACCCTCAAGGCTTCTCTGCCAACTATGGTCCTACTACAGCCGAGCGACGGAGCAAGTGGTTCATGCACGAGGCAGAAAACTGCTGTCGCTGGGATGGACCATCGTGGCCATTTGCTACTGCGCAAACTCTAACTGCCGTCGAAAATGTACTCCACGATTATCCTGCGCAGAGCTACATCACCTCGTCAGACTATTTCAGCATGCTTCAGGGATACGCGAGAACACAATACAAACATGGCAAGCCTTATGTCGCTGAAGCACATCATCCGGACACGGACGCATGGATCTATGATGGAGCAAACCACAGCGAGGACTACAATCACTCAACGTTTGTTGATAATGTTTTGGCTGGTTTTATAGGTCTTCGAGCACAGTCTGATGACACACTTGTCGTTAATCCTCTGGTCCCTGCATCTTGGGACCATTTTGCTGTTGAGAACGCAGCGTATCATGGTCATTCAATCACTGTACTCTGGGACAAGACTGGATCGTTCTACAACCAAGGCAAAGGCTTACGAGTTTATGTCGATGGGAAATTGGCTGGCAGTCGTGACACCGTAGGATCCCTCAAAATTGATGTCGGTCCGCCGTCTCAATCAGTCACCTCTTTTTCGGTCAACATCGCGGCCAATGGTCAGCGATTTCCTCAGCTTACCACTGATTTCGCTTCCTATACTTTTTCTGTTGACGACGCAGTGCGAGCAATCGATGGTATCGTTTGGCGAACTGGAATTCCACAGAATAGTCGCTGGACTTCATACAATAGTCCAAACCCATCAGACCACTTTGGTGTCAATCTACGCAGGAATCAAGTTGTATGCAATGTGCATCTGTTCTTTTATGACGACGCCGGCGGTGTTCGTATCCCTTCAACGTTTAATCTTCAATACTTGTCGGGAAACACTTGGAAGACTATCCCTGGACAGACCCGCAGCCCAATGCCAACCACTTCAAATTCTGAGACCAAGATTACCTTTCCTGCGATATCCGCATCTCAAATTCGTGTTGTGGCACCTAATGCTGGAGCTGGCGTAGGCTGGGGGCTTTCCAAGTTCGAAATTTGGACACCAGCCATCTTCCACATCCGCAACGAGAATAGCGGTAAGCTTATGGGCGTGGAGAACATGTCGACTGCAAATAGCGCCAACATACAACAGTATGAGGACAACGACTCAAAAGATCACTTTTGGCGGTTCATTCCGAGTCCTGGTGGGTGGTGGAAGATTCAGAATCTGAATAGTGGACTGTTGCTTGCCGTTCAAGACGCCTCAACTGCCAACAGCGCAAATTTACAACAATACGCAGATAATAGTACTGAAGATCATCTATGGAGATTGGAGTCCAAGGGAGATGGCTTGTTCTTGATTCGGAATAAAAATAGTCAAAAGGTAGCCGGTATTGACCGCATGTCGACTGCCAATAGTGCTAATGTCGTTCAGTTCGACGATAGCGGTACCAAAGATCACTTATGGAGCATCCTGCCAGCCGTTGCGGAAGGGTGTCCGAAGTGACTATGAGCGTGTATCATTTGAATGCGAAACTTAGGCTGATTTCCTTTCTGTGATTGGCCACATATACCGGTGTGATAGTTATCTCTTTGAGTGGCATAAGACTTCAAGACGGTCACGACCGGGGTGTAGGGCCAATCAAAATGAGCGCGACGACCGGTACCTCCACACACACCTAAATTAGCGTGTGATAGAAGTACCAACAGTCAGCATTGTTACATATCGCTACATCACATACTTTACAACCGTACCTGCTCTGCGGGCCTCGTGCATTTCCTGATATAGGCTATAGATAACCTCCTTTTGCCCTGTTTTTTTTAGCCGGCCGAGGCTGCCCTTGCCTTAAGCCTTTACAGGCTAGGCAGGGGGAAAGGCGGCCTCGATTGACATGATTAATATCTCTTTGTAGGTGAATTTGCCGTGCTTCTATATCTTCGATGTCTTCTTCCTTCCCTGATCGGTATCTCTTCCTTGTGCCGCTTTCAGCTGCATAGCGGTTAAAAATGGCGTTGCAAATGCACTCCTTCCAAGCTTGCAGCGTGCTGTAGGGCTTCCAACGAGGGTGCCGGGTCTTCTTCTGCAAAATGAAGCTATTCGCAAGTGCGACTTCAAGGAGGAAGCTCCAAAGCAACGCCTGCCACGGACCGCGGCGGAATCGATGCTCTTACGTTATATAGGACCTTATCTGATCACCGCGGTCAACGTGATTCATTTCATCGTTATACTGAGCGGCAACAGTAGGTATAGGGATCATCTTAAAGCTATCCCCGTTAAAAATCTGCTGCAGCTGTTGTGCCTCTGCCTTCGTGCCTCTCTTAGCCGGCAGCTTCCTCTTTTTTAGTGTGCAGTCGTGAGAGGCGCCGCTATATACAGTTGAAAGGAAGAGCACCACTCCGCTATCCTTCCAAGCGATTTAGATAACCTAGGGGGAATGAAAAGGGATAAATTAGTAAGGGAAATACAGCTAAAGGTTGTCTATACCTGTTGGTCTTCCGTCGGGATCAGTATGACCTCGTTATACTTCAAAGGCATGCCGTCAGAAGCCTTCCTGGTCTCTTTTATCCGCCTCATCTCGGTGGTAATGCCGCAGTTAGGGCATGCTATGCCTATGGCACCAAAGCCAAGCTGCCAAAAAAGGCAGAAGAGCTGCGGTAATGAGAAGAGGTTATCTATAAAGACGTAATATGTCTAAGGTATTAGCCTTTTTACTAGGTGAACAACGACGCTCTGAGTATTGCTGAGAGGGATCTCAGTCCGTAGCTTTCCTCTCTTGCCATGCAGCTTCAGCATAGGTAGGTTGATGATAATAGCGTTATATAGTAATGACTTCATGTGCTAAAGCCACCGCAGAAAGAAGCCCTGTTAGGCGATAACCTAGACTTTAAAGCCTACTAGCGTAGGCTTTCCCTTAATAAGCGTTATCTCTTTCGATCTGCCTATAAACGGCACCATACACTCATCTATAATCAGATTAGTCCCTGGAAGATAGAGCTCATTTAACACCTTCTGTATAAGGTCAGACCACTCTTCAGCCGCTTAGAAGGTCTTTGGAAGATCGATCTTATCCCTTACATCGACTTTGGTGTAGTCAAAAGTGCAAAAATACCGGCTAATCAGCTAAAACTTCCGTAAAGGCATGAACTTGATAATTAAGTAAAGAGGGCGCTAATCTCCTAGGCTAGGTGCCTTCCAATGGTCCTTTATTGAGATTTCCCTATGAATTCCTAGGTAAATAACAACTCCAAGCCATACATAAGCCGTTGCAGAAGAGAGGCCTTCCCACTTAAGGATGCGTAAGTGTTCGGAAAGAGGGGTAACTTATGCTATTAAAATTATAGCTATTTTAGGCTTAGCTTGGATTTTTAAAGAGTTTTTTAAGAACCGGATTTAAGGTGTATAGGGTAGTGCGTCGCTCGCTTGACTGCGTCGCTCGCTTATCAAACACGTTATATTTAAAGAAATATTATAAGGGTATCAAAGCAGCAGTAAGGATGGAGATTGCAAAGCAAGTTCAGGGCATACCTAATATTATTATAAATTAAAGGGGATTATTATTATGGCAAAAGCCGCCACCTACAACGGATCCGATCCCATATATCTAACCGCTAACAAACGATAAGTTAGGTTGTAACGAGGAAGGGTGTTTATACGTGGATCAGATAACATTACTGTCGATCTCCTGAAAGCCGTATGACACATCATCGGGACACACGTTCGCCGTCTGTTCGAAAGATGCCTCTACAGGCCACCACCCAAAACCGTTCAAGGAGGCAGAAGTGGTCATGATCGCCAAGCCCGGACGCCATGATCTCGCGTCGCCACGAGCTTGGCGACCTGTCTCTCTGCTCTGTTTCCTCGGTAAGGGACTAGAACGGCTGATCGCACGCCTTCTAGCGTGGGCAGCTATCCACTACAGCGCCCTTCACCCTCAACAGGCTGGGGCACTCCCTAAAAGGTCGGCAACAGACCTGGTAGCCGCCCTGATCCACGATATCGAAGAGGCATTTGCACGCAAGAAAGTGGCCACACTGGTCACAATGGATATACAAGGTGCTTTCGACACTGTCATGCGTAACAGGCTGGTATTACATGATGGAGTTCGCACACAGCTAGCCACAGATCGGGATAATAAACCCGATGCATTCTGATGTTTATCACAGAGTAATTTAAGACATGGAACCTTTTGCAAAATCTTAAACGAGACCAGTATAAGCTGCTTATTCTACTGGACAACGGCTACCACACCATCCCGACACAACGGTACGCTAGCCGCGTTGCTAATTTGTGTGCTAGGCTAACTATGCATACAAACTACTGTACCTAGCTTTAAAGACTGCAAGAACCAACAGACCCGAGAGACCTAACCCAGAACTACCTGAAATATTGCTTAACCCTGGAAGACATCTATTTTATTACCAGTACTAATAACTAAAGCATGGGGACCCTCAGATGTGCTTGAAGCAGCATCCGGCGAGCATTCGTGATAAGAATTGGCGTTTGGAGCTACGATAAGGTTACCTACACCTACCTTCTAAAAACGGTTGTGTCAGTAGGTTTGTTTGAGCGCTGATAAAGGGGGCTGTGGGTCCGGGTTTCCGGGGAGAAGTTCCGAGTCACAGCCTAGACATTGGACAGGCCATAGACCAGTCGCTGGGGGCGGGATATCCCTTTCATCCTCTCTATCCTCTCTATCCTCTCTATCCTCTCTACCTGGTTTAGTGAATGGCTCTTGCTATTGATAAAGCGCGCTTATCGACAGTAAGTCATCTGAAGGGTCGGTGCGGTGCATTTCCAATATCTTACGGCCTGAGGGAGGCTTGTGCACCTACCCAAGCTTATAGAGTGGAAATGCATCGCACTTCCAGTTTGGGCATGTTTAACGGAAACCCAAAATGCAGCGCGCTCCTTACACGAGAGCCCGTGCCAACCTTTAGAGTTTATATTAGGTAAAGTTAAGTAACTCTACAGGAGCCGCAAACTGTTTGCCAAATGAACCTTGAGGAGCAAGGTTTGATATAGGGTCGTTATAGAGAAGAATGCTAAATTTTTTATATGACGCTTATCGACAGTACTGTAGCAGTTTCGCAATTGCGGCTAATGTCAGGGTGGTGTGTCCGTTATATGATTACTGATACAGCCTAGGAAGGGCCGAAGGACACGGTTTTTCCAGCGAACGCAGAGAGAAAAATAGAAGTTTATTTGGAGCAAACGGACTGGGTGGTGGCCCATCGCAATCTCAGCACGGCGGCTGATTTAGACAAGCCGGCCGAGGGCCGATTTAGTCCATCGCCTGGAAAGAGAATGCAGGGTCTGCGAAAGTCCAATTTACACCGTCCCACAAAAAAATACGTAGTCTATCCTTTTGCCTCATTGTCAAGTGTCCTAAAATGACTGGCGATTTCACTATATACCTACTCGGGCTTGCCTCCAGCATTCGTTGCCTCTTCTCAGGGTGGATCCAAGCATGAATGTGGATTCGTCGTGGCCTCGAATTGCGGACATGTCAAATGGCTTCTTCCAGGCTTGACTAGCTCAATGATGGGAACGCTCACACCTTAACACGGCTGAAGAGGAAAGTGAGAGGATCACTTGCTCCATCTTCGAGATGCATGGGCCTTGTATTCTTTCACTCTTCATTGTTAGAAACGCAACCCTTGGCTAGCCCTCTTTTAGGGGGTTCTAGCTTTCATTGCCATTGTTTGCAGAAGCGAAAGGGAGCCATGCGATGGAGATGACAGGCTTTTCTCTTGGTCAGCGGTCAAGTGCCATGGCTCCGAACAAATAGAATTGTTAGAGAGCAACCTATCATCCATAATCTCATTTCACACTACAACAAGGCAAAATATAACTATAGGACATCTTATTAAGTCGTGCCACTCTTGACGCCTGGGCGGCTGGCTTCGTTCGTTAACCTTCTACAACCTTGACAGTCTAAGTATCGATCTACAAAATGGCAAGAGTAAGTAAACAACACCAAGTTCCCTTAGCAAACCCGAGTAGGAAAAGTACAGACTAGTTGTTGTGGCAGCCTCTTCACAAATGGAAAGTTCAATCCTGTATCAAAGGTCTTGTTCAACACTTATTCGTGTTCATGTGAGTCTGCTAGGTGAAAGGGCTCATGACCGGATTGTCTCCGTTCGAGTACCTCGGTTGAGATTTTGGATGTAGGTGCGTAGCCGGATCTGAGAAGCCGATCGGCCTCATGCTTCAAAACGTTTTCAAGGACAGCATCGTAGGCAGTGGCAGGATCGCGCATCTACGCTGTTGAGTAAGCTCTGAGAAAACACAAAATGCTCGCCTTCATGTCATGTAGCACGCTCGTTGGATATATAACGAGCTGCTGACGACTTAAGCTTCGGATAATAGGCCATTCTTCTCGAACAATTCTTTGTCGCAAACAATGCATAGTAAGTTAATCGTACGCAAACGGCTATCCAAGTCTTACAGTGCTCGTGCGAGCCTGGTTGAGCACCCACTGCTTACTTATGGTAGTATCGAACGAATTGATGGCTATCTCAGGTAAGTCCCTAGTTCGGGCGGGACGAAAAAGTGATCAAGATAGCTACAGTGACCTATATCAGTACTGATCAAGAGAAATATTTGTCCGCCTGGACTCTCATCCATTCCAATCTTGGGCCTTCAGCGACCCCATCCTTGGCAAGGTAGATTCCCATCGCTCGACTCCGAGGAGGTCACCTAACCAAGTCAAACCCTTTGGCCGGTTGGTGGTTAAAACGAAAGCAGACGAAATAAAACTAAATAATGTCTCAGACTTTCATTGTATCCAAGAAGTAGAGAATAAAAAGTCCAAAAATCAATCCCGCCATGCTATGCCACTTAGAGCTGATTCTAGGGCCTAAACCAGCTGCAAAGTAGCTTATGGTCGCCCAATCGTGCCTCGGTAGCTACTTTTCACAGACTGTGTTGGACCGTCCCTAGCACCTAGAGAAAAAGATAACTATTAATTATCTTAATTTAGGCGGGTAAGAATATAGACGTAGTCTTTCACTTACTCTATTAAAGCTGAATCAGTCTTGGCGAATCGGGCATTGACCGACATGTAATGGGATATTCCTATTCGCCCTCTAAGTAGTTGGCTTAGTTGTCCCAAAATTACGAGAGCGGAGGAGTCTACAAACCATATCAGCAACATGGATCTCGAGTTACCCTGCGGGGCGTTTGGCTGGCGCAACTTACATGAGGGTCAGACTGGTCGTAGGGGCTTGAAGTGTTGAAGTCTATGGGCGGCATGTAACCATATGTCGTATAAGGGGTCCACTTGTCGTCACTGGGGCATGACTCCTGCTTGGTGGTATCGCTAAAATGCGTCATTGGGGAAAGTATCATGGGCACGGCGGAAGTATTCAGGTAGTTGGGGTGTGCGTCACCAGTAGCTATGGCCAAGGAGGTCTCAGGGGAATCGTAGGGAGTGACAAATATCTCATCAGGAGTCGGATAAGTCGAGTATGTGAACTGGGAAAGGCTGTTGGAGCGAGCCTGGTTGTTGTGGGTGCTAAGGAAGAAGAAATTGTTAGTTGGCTCCCTGTGAGGAATAAACTGGCTCTGAGAGACGACTAGCTTGGTGGAGGTAGCGGGCTGTGACTTTTGGGACTTGAAGGATTGCTTCGACTTGGTGGACTCCTGGGCCTGCTTATCGGACCCGGCAGGTTCAGAAGAGCTAGCACGGCGCTCGAGGTCCTCGAGGCGTCGCTTGAGCTTCTTGCCTATAAGCGGGTATTTATGTCAGCTATGGTTGGGAATCAACTTTGGAATCCTCGGGAGCCCAGTCCGGTGGAAGTCAGCCTCTCCGAGTTAGCGGAGAGAACGTACGGTAGTTGCGCTGAGCAATGCGGTTCTGTATCCGTCGGCGCTCAGCAGTGTCAGAGATCTTGGTCCAGTCCTCATCAGGGTCAGCAGATGCACTACTGGTACTCGAGTAGCGTCGGCGAGGAGGAGCTTCCGCGTAGGCGGGTAGTGACATGAACATGGACATTGTGAAAGTGGTTATAGCTGGTTAAGTAGAGGGATTGAGGAGGTAGGCGCCGTGGAAATGGTACTTGTCGTTGCTGCCAACGATGGGGCGATGGACGACCCGGGCACGATTGAGATGACGGGTTGGGGATCTGCCTGAGCTGTCTATTGATGTCTCGTTGTCTCGTTTCTGTCTGTCCTCTTCCGCCTGTCTATCTTTAGGTGCTTGCAATTGACTAGCAATAATAGCTGGAGGTTAGCGGTAGTTGTTATATATAGGGGGTATTGGGCCTGACGGCGGGTATGTGGGGGGACGATGGAAGAGTAAATGCAACCTGAAGCTACTGAAAACAAGGATGGACTCGAAGGCAGACCTAAATTGAACGGTAAGTTGGGGTAAAGAGGCTACAAATTCTCAACATCCCAAGAGCTGTGGAAGCAGGCACAATGGAAGCACCCAAGCCCACCTTCTGCACACCACCCTGGATTGGCTGCTACTGGAAGGGGAAGTAGGCGACTGCACCTGTTTATGGGATGTAAATCGGAGTCTCTTAGTCACCAATGTAGGGAAGAGAGTTGGAGGCGGCGTGGGGAAGGCCTAGGTGAATAAGTAATAAAGAGCACCGGCCAAAGCGTACCTTTAATATAGCGCGACATCATTGCGACTGCCGATAGTTTGCTTATATGCTAGGGTATTAGAGCTATAGTAAGAGACAAAGAAGATGGAGGTGACAATGATGGGATCGAGACTCCAATCTGTAGATACGGTCGGGGCTCTCCCCAAAGCAGTCTATCATTGCATTGCGGGCGGCACGAGTCACGAAGAGGCGCTCGATCTCCGGGACTCCTCATCACGGGGGGATAAGAGACTGAATAACCTAGTAAGAGGCAGAGATAAGAGGCGTAACGGGCTCAGATAGCAGAAGTGCTGCCTAATGCGGCTCAACATCGGACGACACCTGCCTGGGGTATGTTGGAGGCGGCATATGATATGGAGAAGTGGGGATGAAGTTCTTTCCATCGGTCAACTAGGCCTGCAATAGGTAAATTCCCCGAACGCCTCCTCAAGCTGATTACTAGATACCTAAACTACCACGTAGCTTAACTTTTGGCGCGCGTCGTGTGGCGCGAGTCAGTATCACATAGGCGAAGCTTGTGCTTGGAATCGTAGCATGCTAGACCGAAAGGATATGAGGCTGGAGGTGATAAGACGAACGCAGCCATGGTGGAAGATTTCCAATTAGTGATCTCCTGGGTGTTGAGTAACGGGCGCTAAGCAGCGGGCGAGCCATGGCGCGACGTTAAAGAGGAGGCGATGGAGAGGGTGGGTAAGCCCGTTGACCAGTCCCGGACACCCTTCTGTGCTCTAATAGAATATAGAGCCAGGTGGGTTAATACTCGGCGCCTTATGGACCTCGCTTATTGCAATCCAGGACTAGTTTGCGACCTTATAAAGTCCCGACATGCACGCAGAGCCAGGAAGAGGCGGAAACGACTAGGTTTACATATACCCGTGGGACTGCTTTTCGTTCTACCATTATATTGCATCTACGCGACGAAAAATCTGAAAGACAGAGCTCCATCCATACGCTCGCCAATCCGCTAGATAAGGAACGCTTTTAAGCTAAATACAGTTCGGCCTAGATGGCTGGATTACGGCTATTTTGTTAGCTCGCCCGGATTCTTTAGCTCCCCTTTCGGCTTACCCCGACATGCTATTACTAGACCGTACATGCAAGATAAACAAGCATAGCATGCCGCTCCTCGATATGATTAGAATCGATGTTTTCTAACGACCCTCTTGTATAGCTTTTGCATTCCTCCGTGGCGAGACGGAGGATGATATACTTGGGCAATAGACCGGCTGATGTTATGGATAAAACAAAATGGGTTGATTGTGTTGCTGTTAGTTCTAAGTTACATATATTCGAGAGGAGCACAGCTCCTTACGTAGTGTCCACATCCCAGCCACCAGCAGATCGGACCACCTTAGTCACACGGTCTCAACAATATCAATAATATCCGGCCACTCCACTTCACCGACAAAACCAATCTGCTGCCGGGCATTCTCCTGCAATTTAACCTCCAGCTGAGCTAAATCTTTACGGATCTTATCAATAGCCGCATCCCCTATAGAGTACTGTTCCATCTCCGAGTCGTCTTCATGCCTAGCTGCATCTGTATGTATGAATCTCTGGTTTGGTAAGAGCAGTGCAAGAGGTAATACTACCGCCGTCGAAATGTTTCCATCCATTCCAGTCGTTCCGCAGTGACTTATTGCTTGCACTTGGCTTATTCGAGAGAAGAGTTGTTGCGGCAAAATTGGCGCGTTATGCAGGGTAATGCCATGTCTGTGGTTGCATCTTTCATCTCCACGATTTGAAAGGACTCCACTGTATGGTATGGTCTTCTTGGACGATTTTGAGTTCTCTATAGGTTGGCTGAATTGAGCCTTGGGCTACAGCTAGTAATTGTGGCACTCAATGCTGTATTATTACTCCCGATTGTCGTCGCCGAGCTATGGGAACTTGTTTGGGATAGCGGTATTTGTTCTTGTTTATTTTCTTCGTTGACCCCTGGGATTGACGGATTGTTTCTTTGCTGCAGCATCCTATAGATGGATCTGATAGCGTATAAGGAGCTTGCGGGTTAAAGAAGGTTCCTGGATATAGAGTATGGAGTGGTTCTAACGCAACAGCAGTTCTAGTCTTCATTATATGCTGGCGGTCTACTTGACGACGGCTATGCATTGACTCAGCCCTTGCTATCGCTCGTTTAAACGTGCCTAGAATTAATCTCTACACTCATCTGACCATGTCGGACACCAAGATAGGCATGACATGACTTTTTAGGGGAGCTTGGGTGGCCGAAAACCAACAGATGTTAACCTCTCACCGGCGTTGATCAACGGCCGTCTGCTATTGGTTGGTATGGCATGTGACAGTGACCCTTTCTTAGCTGAGTTAAAAAAGGTCGCAAGGTCTAGACCGATCGATCCGGGAAAGCCTCGACTCTTCTGGTTCTAGACTGTTCGAACGGCCAGACCGGTAATATGTCTTGTATTGTTGGCGAAACCCGCCCCACTTCCAATTGCCGCAAAGCCCGTAAATCAGATGATTTGAGCCTGGCTGCTAGGGTTCTTTGCTTATCTACTCAACAAAAGCTATTGGCCATTGACCCATGCGGGGCGAGCCAACTTAGCTTGCTAAGTTGGCCCCAAGACCCTGGGACATTGGCGGGGCCCGATTTTGGCTGTGATTTGCCGCCTTTCTTATGCTTTGATGTTCTCATGCCGTCCAGAGTCGTTATGAAGTCACGAATTAAGGGAAATTGAGGCCTCTCGTGATGCTGAAAGGCAGAGCTTTTGGATTTAACTATAGAAGCTGCCGCTTGTGCAACCAGGTCCTACTGTACCAATTACCACTGGTAATGGCACCCAATACCATTTTTTGCGGCCCGTGCACCTCCCTCTTTTCGTTTTTCTGGGGGATGTGGGTCTGGGTCGGAATACAAGAATATTTGGCCCGTGCGCCCTCTCCAACTTTGCAGGACCGGTGCTGATTCCCTAGTCCTACATACCAAAATCAACTTTAGTAGAGTTGATTATTTTGCCCCACTTTGCAGGGGGTAGAGTTGGTTTTTGCCAGGGGTAGAGTTAATTTAAGCAAGGCGTAGAGTTGAATTTATAATTGGCCATGAAGCTTGCCATCTAATGAGGCGCGTCATAGGCGAGGAACGCCAGTACGCGTTGCGTAAGGTAAGAGCTCGTTATAATTAGCGTTTGGGGGGGCGCACCGAAGCCGGATGGACTAAAGTGTCGAGCGTGCGGCACCATTCTGCGTCAGGTTCGGAAGATTCGGGCTCATTGTGCCAAAAAAAAAACATGAATGGATTAACCCAAGATGTAAAGGAAGGCAATCGACGGGGTGCCCAATGCCTCCTGCTGAACTACCAGACAGTCTTTTTGGTCGCATGTAAACCAAAGTGAGCGGAACTTCCCATTCCCAGGCCATCACATGTCAGTAACATCTGCTTGTAGGGCAGTATACCCCACCTGCCAGCTAAACAGCTAGAATCTATGGTTTGAATTATTAAAACCCTAATAGCAGTTTGAGCTCGCAGTTTAAAGGTAGTCTAATTGAATTTGCAGTCTTCAAGGCTATCCCTGCAAGTGTTGACACGACGGGGCACCATAACACGAGAAGACTTGTTGTGGTTCGGCTTCACGTGGAGGCTGAAGGTGGGCTGGCTGAATTTCTTTTACACACTTCTGAATCTTGCTGGTGTTGAGAGCTTACGTGCATTACAGTCACATTAGGAAGGGAGCTTGCCCCCGCACGAAGAGTACGGAAGCAAGACAAGGCATCATCAAGACTTCAATCAATAAGATCACCAGTTTTTGCTTCATAATCCGTTGAATTCACCCCATCGCGCGCTCAAGATACGTACCGCGTATCTAACTGCGTTTGCAGCTGCGTCAACACCGCCGCGAGTCTCCATTTTGCCCCGTCGTGAATGCTTCGCGCATCAAGGTTTTTCCGCGGAATTTGACTACTACTATTGCGTCCTGACGAAATTGGACAGTCACCTAATTGATTATATATTGGACCTATCTCCGTGACTACCCCCAACCTAAACTTTCACATCGGCCGCCAATCCAAATATATCAGGCCGGTTCAACATTTCAACCTCGCTGCTGAACACTGATATATCCCATATCTCTCCCGAGCTCCGCCAGTGGTACATCATCGATCGCCTACTGCGCTTGCCTGTCCGCCACAATGTCCGTCAACCGCTTAGCCCCGCTCGTCGTCCCGGCCGCTAAACAGCACACGGCCACTGTCATTTTCGTCCATGGACTTGGCGACACGGGCCATGGCTGGGCTTTAGCTGTTGAGAACTGGCGGCGAGGGCAACAGTTGGATGGGGTCAAGTTTATCTTGCCTCATGCTCCTAGAATCCCCTTTACGCTTGTAAGTGTGCTTCCTTGCCATTGGTGTGACGGATAGCTCGACGTTGAGCGTTAACATCAGAGGAACTAACTAGCATGAGGGAATGAAGACGTCGGGATGGTTTGATATGATGGTATGTTTACCCTGAATACTGGCTTTTCTATCATGAACTTCAATCACACAGTGAAACTAGGTCGCTCTTGATGGTAATGTCAACACCCTGCTCCGCCAGGAGGATGCCGAGGGTATCAAACTCAGCCAGAAGTACTTCCACGAGCTCATACAAGAGGAGATCGACTCCGGCATTCCTGCAGACCGCATCGTCCTTGGTGGCTTCTCCCAGGGCGGTGCCATGTCTCTCCTTTCCGGTCTGACCTTTAAGGCCAAACTTGCCGGTATCATCGGCCTCTCCGCCTGGCTTGTTCTCTCTCAGAGTTTCCCTAACATGATCTCACCTACCCACGCGAGTCGCCAGACGCCCGTCATCATGTTACACGGTGACCAGGACCCCTTCGTGCCTACGAACCGAGCCCAGCGTGATGCGGAGAGGCTTACACGGTTGGGATATAATGTGACCTGGAAGACATATCCGTCAGTGCTGACGAATTAGAAGACTCGAGCTATGTGACAGATTAAGCTGACATTTCTATCCAGCGGCATGGGTCACTCTACTAGCTTAAAGGAGTTGGATGATGTGGAGGCCTTTTTGAGGGCGCGACTCCTTCCTAATGCAGGCAAGGAGGATAAGAAAACTTTGACGAGCCTAGTCTAAACAAAGGGAATTTGTATGGTCTATATACGTGGTATTATTTTTGTGTGTCCCGACCTCGTGTTCATCGTATGAAAGTGAACAGGCCCGTCGTCCCGGGATGGATAGGGAATTTCTATGACGATGACACCTCGCCTGCTCTTGGCGGCGCATGGGGCAGTTCTCGGAGGTAGGAGTGTAAACTTTGGTAAATTATTCACATGGTTCTCAGCAAATCAATTTACGTGGTGAAGGGCAGTTGTCGGAAGTCCGAGGGGAAACTTTGCGAAATTATCGAACATGTGATGCTGTCAGAGAGATACATGACGTGAATCCTGACCTTTGATTCAATATATACTATTGGTCAACACTTCGTATTCATCCTGTATATCATAAATGATGTTACGGTGGCTTAAGGAAGGTTTTGAGTGCCACTTTAGTTCTTGATAAGTAGATGGCTTTAAACATTACTTAAACTTCTGTATGTCGGATCCCAGCCGCACGCCTCAACCTGTATAGTCCTCCCGGGACGGCAGGGCTATTTGCTCTCATGGTACTCTAGACACCAGTAAAGCCTTGGCTACCTGGCACGATGCTCAGGCAGTCTGACATGTCATAGAATCCTCACGAACCCAACTTGAGAAAGGCAACGAGTTCTCTAGTTGCCGAGCGATATTATGATAACCTCGGGGTGGCATATGCATGTCAGCAACCTCTGTATGTAGGCTGATGTATGCGCCAAATGCAAGACGGGGAAGTCGGGGACACTTGACCTCCGGTCTGAAAATTTAACACCATGTTTTTCAGCTCACATTCTAAAGATGGCCTAATGCCCGGCTTGGATGTTAACGTTACAACTAAGTTTATTATGGCACGTTAAGACCTTCAATGCCGTTGGGACAAAAGAAAGTCAGGGCAAAGCAAGTCAGCCCATGCCAGGATTTTTGTACCACCATCTTCGGCCGTGGTCTCGCTCCATAGTTGCAAATACCCCTCAGCCTTGAGGCCGTATTGCAGCACTCCAGCGTCAGTAGCTCAGAGATGCGGCAGGCTTGGCCCCAATCTACCTGGATCAGAACCATGAAGCATCGCAGTAAATCGTCATGCGCGCTCAGGTATGCTCGTGCTGCTCTTGCATCCCATGAACTTTGATCCCTGCCTTGCTTTCGCAGCAAACCATCTACAGGAGAGACGCAAGCCCTCATGAAGAGCTCCAAATAAGCATCTTCTAATCCGTTGGCTGGATCAGACACGAAAGAGTAGCCATTAGTTGTGTTCGACAGTCGATCCCGAACGTTCGCAAGGTCCACATCACCAGGATCCCAGTCGTACATCAAGCGCTTACAATGGGCTGAAGCTTGTCTGAGCGCCTCATGTGCGAGACTCCGGAATTGGGTTATCGTCAGATAATTCTGGCCGTCCCATGATAGTGTTTGGCCATCCTCGCTCCAGTAGAAGTGGTACACTGGCCCTTCAGATCGGCGCAGGGCACGACCATAGTCCAGCAGACTGAAGAACTCTCCCATCGGTGACATTGTTCCATCACACATTCTGTCTCGGCGAGCGGCATTCAATGTTTCTAGCTGACCGTGCCGTGGTCGACATGCAATGTTAACGTAGGAATGTTCGAATTGTGGTAGTGTCGCTTCAATAAATATGAGCCGCACGCAGTAAATCAATCTTGATAGAATAGGCGTGAATCGATGCGGGCGGAGATATTCTTCCCCGTCTGTGCCAGAGAGTCCCCGGATGGCGCTGAAGAAGACGAACATGGTGGAACTAGATCTTCCGTCCTCGAAATCTTCGGTTACCATGTAGTAAGCGAGACGTAGGACAAGGTCGGCAGCGGGATCCATTGGAGCAATAGTACGTCGTCCCGGAGAATCCATTGTGGAGGAATAACCGTCGGAACCATCATGAATATCTTCTCCCGACCAGTCAGCATAGTCATTGTCGCTTCCGTAGCCGCTTCCTTGACCCTCGTCCTCATCCTCATCCTCCTCTGCATCATCATCTACATCCTCATCTTGGTCTAGATCGCTACGATCATCTGACCCGGATATATCACTCAATAGTGACGTACTAGTCGAGCATACAGCTTGATTCACACGCCAAGCAGGATCCTCCCAAGCCGCTTTAACTCCTTACGTTGACTTCTTCTCAGACCTCGACCCAAGATAGACTTAGTTGTTTCGTGCGGCAGCTGCAGTAGCCGGAGCCAGAGACATAAGCAGCGCTTCAGCTCCTTCCGATATATACGCTCAGAGCTATGTTTGGAGACAAGGTCGAAAGGAGCCTTATATGGACGGTCTGGAAATCTACCCCGGAGCCATCTACGCACGCAGACATCGGTGCACCGTATGGTATCACCGCATCGATCGAACAGACGATCAGTTGCTTCCATGATTGACGCTAACTGCTGTTCAACTGCGGCTGAGCTAAAAAGCGACTCCCCCGCGTGCACTCCCAGGCAAAACGGCCGACCAGTCAGGGCAGGTAAATCTGACATGGCGATGAGAATATCGCGACGGGCGTCTTGAAGCAGATTTTCCCAGCCAGTACGGCGCATCCAGTTGGTCATCAAGTTCGCCTGTGTAGCGCCATGTAGCAGGTCTTGCCCCCTAGGTCGCAAATCTAATCTTTGCCGTTCTTCGGCAAAGAGCTGCTGGGCAAAGTCTCTGATAGCATCTGGCGTCTCCTGTAGCAGAATATTGGCGTTCGCCTGCCTTTCAGATGTCTGAGCACCTTCGATTTTGATAATCCAAGACTTGTGGACGCCTTGAGCCGTCCAACTCTGGAGGGTCAGCCCCGTCTTAATGTGGTCTCGTAACCAATGTCGCCCTGATTTTCTAGCAAGCTCTATCTCCACAGGGTACGTTTCTCTGAGGTGTGATTGAAGAACAACATCGCTGGTCGATCGCAGACCGCAGTGCCTGCAAGAGCTTGCACCCGTCAGACTTTTCAGGTGAGGATGCGGTGCGCTACCATCAGGTCGCAAACGAAGACTCTTCGGGTCGGGAAGATTCAAGGAACGAATCAGCTTATTCAAACCCCTGCGAGTTGCTTTGTCGACTTTGTGGATTTCCCCGAGATGTCGAGATACGCGATCCTTATCTGCCGTTATAGCATAGCCACATTGCTTACAGATGATAGCAGGCTCGGGCGAGTTGAGGAGCAGGCCAATGTGATCAAGCTCAGCAAGTTTTTCTAACGAGAGTTGGCTGTAAAGCCTTGCGTAAGTAGAATACTCGTCGTCTGGCATCGTTGTCAACCAGTTGATATAGAAGCACTAGCTAGGAAGGAGGATACGGATGAGCTAGAGGTCAATTGGTTTCTACAGGGATGGCACGGGACATCGGGACAGAAAACGCGACGCGTTTTAAGTTGCAGCTAAACGTCGTTAGACAATAACGCGCCCCGTTTTGAGCCCCCAAATGGGGGTAGAAATCTAAAGGCTCTGATTGGCCCAAAAGACGAAACGCGGCGCGTTTTGATCAAGAATACTTGAGTAGAATATTACCTCATTTAAGGTTGATAACTAGTTTATCCTCTCCACGCATCTGTCTCCAGCGGTTCGTTGACTCAAGTACCGTTTCACACCCCTTCAGCAAGAAACCCCATTTTCTCACAAATCCCTCACTTACTTCCCATCCGTGTCCACTCCATGGACTATCCCATACCAAGAAGCCACATCGTTCAGTATCATCAAAGCCCTCATACACCCTCAGCCCCAGGTCAAGGAGAAGCTCACGAGGATTGTATCTATCGGCCATAAGAATGAGATTATCACGGAGGCCTGGGAATGGGATAGCGTTGATCCAGAAAGGAGCGGATATTACGCGCTGTATGTGCGTTGGTTGGAGATCCTCTGGAATTCGGTGCTGTGCCACAAAATTGATTTTGGAAACGCCGAACGCGTTTTGGCAACCTGGCGGGAGATGGTGTAAGGTTGAAAGAATGCTCATGTTTTGTATGATGGCTTGGACAACATTGTACTGAACAAGTGTGATGAGGCAGTGGTCTGCCGAAAGTGGAAATACAATTGGGTGAGGTGATTCTCCTGGTGCATTGAGTGTCGAGTAAGGTAGCAGTGGCGGTATAAGTTCCCCAGTATCCAATGAGGGTAGATCGTGGTGTCTTGGGCTCATTACCTCAACCCTCTGTGGATGATTCGAAGAAGAGCTGGGATGACTTGATTGATCTGGCTTCAAACTAACCAGCATCCCATAGCCTTCCCATTTCTGACTCTTCCAGTCTGCAGGGGCGTTTAAACGGTCAATAGCTCGTTTTCTATCGCCTAAAGGTCCATCAGAAGTGTCCCAATGTTTCACTCTATCGCTGAAGAGTCCAACTTACGCCATGCTCTCTGTCTTAGTCGACTCTGCCTCTTCTTTCTCTCGGCTGCGTCAGTAATGCCGCTCCAATCATACTTATTGCAATTCATCCCAAAATGGTTGTGCTGACAATGCTTGATGCTCGGGACAACAAGAAGACCGAGTTTGCCCTGGCTTAGAAATCGTCCAGTTGGTCCGAGGACGACGATGAAGCGGATGTGGCTGGGGACTGATTAGCTAGAGATTTCAAGGCATTAATTAAATGATTACGTTGTGAGTGAGATGTTGCTGAAATGAAGGTTGCTTATTCTTTGCGGTTGGGGTCGTCAGCTGCAAGTGCGTTACGCGCTAACACAAATCCGGATTGGCAAGGGTTATATTCGAGACACGATGTAGTATTACCAATCTTCAATATATACTCTCATAGAGTAGATGCAAGGGACCTTGCTCAAGCCACGTATGTACGAGTTCAAGGAAGAGAACATATAATACCCGGAAATTCTCGACTTGAAAATGAGCCCTTACTTTAGTCTGAACATTTACATGCCAGACTCAACAACCCAACATATTCCTATAATACCAGATCCAGCATCTCGACTTCTTTCATTAGAATAAACACCAATCATGCCTCAGGAAAAGCCAACTATTGCATGCTTTGGAGCTACCGGCGGGTGCGTAGCCGCGGCCTTAACAAGCGCACTGAAAGATGGCTTCTATTGCACAGCTCGTACGCCCTCAGCTTCACTCCTCCAGGATGGCTTATAGCTAACTATGTCCAGTTGCGAGGACCCCAGAGAAGCTGCGCAGTATCCTAATTGACGAGCACAAAATCCCGTTGGCCACCATCAACCAATATCTTACGATCTACGAAGGAGATATCAAGGATCCAGCCATCGTCCAAAAAGCTCTTATCAGCCCAACTCACACGGCCTCCGTTGTCGATTTTATTCTGAGTGGTGTTGGCGCCTATCCAACTTTCCAATGGAGCCTCATGAGACCCTTTCCACTCACAGATCCTACCATCACCGAAGATGCTATGAACACCATATACGCCGCTCTGTCCAGCCTTTCTGCCTCTTCTATCACTAATACGAGTGCCGGCCAGAAACCTCTTCTAGTGGCAATTAGTACGGCAGGCTGTGGGCGAAATAGAGGGGTTCCCTTACCAATTTACCTTCCGTACCACTACCTTCTTGGGGGACCTCTGGCCGATAAGAAACGCATGGAAAATGTGATCATGGCAGGGAAGAACGATTATATCCGGGATTTCGTTATCATGCGGCCATTGATTTTGACAGATGGAGAGGCGAAAGGTGAAAACCAGCTCAGAGTAGGCTGGGAATGGGGCACTGATGATGGCAAGGGTGAATGTGAAGAGCCAGGTCCCGAGATTGGTTATTTTGTCAGTCGAAAGGATGTTGGGAAGTGGATGTTTGATAACGTCGTCGTTCAGGGTGGCTGGGAAGGGAAGTGTGTGTATTTGACCTATTAGGATGGTCTAATTACTTGGAGATTAGAATTTCGACAAAACACGTGAAAATCCTACTGTCGTTATTAGTTTGATCTTGGTAACCTAGTCGCCAGTCCAGCCGTTGTTCTGCCAGAACAACACTTAGGTTAGCCGAGATTGTATGGCGGATGCAAGTGGTGATTTATGATGGTTGGAGGGGTCAAGGTTGACCTTTGCGTTCGAAAAGAACAAAAAACAAATTCCGACGCAACACCTCCCCAGCCATAGCGGTATGTGAGCTAAAAAGAATACCCTAATGTAGCGAAAACTTCCATAAGTTAATTTAATTGAAGAAATTACATTTTTTCTATCTGGGGCGACCTGTAACGAGCAAAAGGATGACTTTGAAGAATATATCTCTTTGAGTGCCACAGCCCTTCAGTAGGTATCTCGACCCACTTGACCCCACGTACAAGAAGGTGACAAAAGCTCCGCCGCAAGCGCAGTTGAAAGGGCTGTCTTCTCCTGTAACTGGGCTACCTCTTTTGCGGTATAGCCATCTAATTCAGCAATTTCAATTGGCTGACAACCCTCTATAGCGGCTTGAGTACAAGTTGGCTTGTAGCGGCTGATTTACATACTTTGATTGGTTATATATCCCTGTTGTGACGCTCCTAAAGGGCTGTGGCACTCAAAGAGATAGGGTAAGTGGCTACTAAAGCGTGCTCTCCCCTACTCAAAAATTATCAGAAACGCGTTGCGTTTCCTGTTTTTGACCAATCACCGTCTAGCATTTTCGCCCCATGTTTCCCCCAAAGGAAACGCACTGCGTTTCTCGTACCGCACTAATGAAATCAGAAAACCTAAAACACGAAACGCGTCGCGTTTCCGTCGGCTAACCCTTGTCGAGTTCAACAACTTGACTACTCCAGACCTAATCAACAACATTCATTGCCATCTACTGAAACTCGCTACATTATTATTGCAGCTCTAGATTCAAGTGAAAAAGGCCTTTTACGCGTCTTGATTGGGCCATTACCCCTGTTTTCCTGTTTCACTTGAAAGAGGACAATGTAACAGCCGCAGCTCCACTTTCAGTCACAGAGCTGGCGCTTCATAGCCTGATTGGTTCTTTGCTTCCAACCATGTATGATATTTGTAGAGTTTGCATTTCCAGCCCTTTGTAGAAATAGCGGCAGGTAAGCTTGCCTTGTAATCGCAACTAAGGCATTGGTTAAAGATTCCACGTAACCGACCAGCTGACCCCAGCCACCGAACCACCGTCGTCCTAGTGGAATTGCCCTTATCAATGTTTCTAGATACACAGAGCCGATCATTTTCAAGGGGTCTATGGGGCGCAAGGCATTTAATTACAATTGGGAAACAGGCAACCAAAAATCAAAAATGAAGCAAGCCAGAAGTCATGAAAACATGCGTTCAGCGCGGCGACTTACTTCGTTGCACGGGCGAGACAAATATGCTATTTCTCCCGAAAAGACAGAAGCTAAAAATGGCCTTGGTTGAGATCATCTCGCTCACATTCGTAGCATTGCTCCAGTGCCATTTAGCCCAACTGTCACACTTAATCCCTATTTTTTCTTAATTAGGCCACTTATAATCCCTATAACCTAACGTGCTTGATAAGCGAGTGAGCCAGACAAGCGAGTGAGCCAAAAATCCCTCACCTTACAACATTATAATTCAATCAGCTATTTCACAACCAACAAATATGCCACAGTCCTCAAATGAAGCTAGAATCCTTCTTGCCCTTCAGGCCCTTCGAGATAACCCAAAACTTACAGTCCGACGGGCGGCAAATATCTACAATGTCAACCGTAGTACCTTAGGTCGCCGCCAGCATGGCATTCTTTCAACGCGTGATACTCCCACAAAGTCACGGAAACTATCTGATCAGGAAGAGCAGATAGTAGTCCAATTCATTTTAGACCTAGATTTGCGAGGTTTTCCCTCGCGACTATCATATGTGGAAGATATAGCTAATTCTATACTTGCCAACCGCAACGCGCCATACGTCGGCAAGCGCTGGGCTTATAACTTCGTCAAGCGACAACCAGAGCTAAAGACACGTCTATCTCGGAGGTATGACTATCAGAGAGCTAAATGCGAAGATCCGACTATTATTCGTGGCTGGTTTCGGCTTGTAGAGAATACAATCGCGAAATACGGTATCCGATCAGATGATATCTGGAACTTTGATGAGACCGGCTTTATGATGGGCGTAATTGAGCCCGGAACAGTCGTCACAAGCTCTTACAGGCAAGGAAGACCAAAGCAAGTACAGCCTGGAAACCGCGAATGGATTACTGTGATCGAGGGGATCAATGCGGACGGTCAATCGATCCCGCCGTTTATCATTGGTGCAGGCAAGGATCACCTTGCCAATTGGTACCAAGAATGCGACCTCCCCGGCGATTGGGTTATTGCATTGAGCGAAAATGGATGGACTAATAATAAGCTGGGTCTCGAGTGGCTAAAGCACTTTGATCGGGCTACAGCTAAGCGAACGAACAGTCGCTATCGCCTCTTGATCCTTGATGGTCACGAAAGTCACCACTCCGTCGAATTCGAGAAATATTGCAAAGAGAACAAGATTATCACGCTCTGTATGCCTGCTCATGCCTCTCATCTACTTCAGCCTCTTGACGTAGGGTGCTTTGGGCCGCTGAAAAAGGCATATGGTCGAGAAATAGAGCATCTGATCAGATGCAATATAACCTATATTAAGAAGACTGAGTTCTTTCCTGCCTTTTACGCCGCCCACCAAGCTGCTATTACAGAAAGCAATATCAAGGGAGGTTTCAGAGGAGCTGGGCTTGCTCCCTTTAACCCAGAAAATGTCATCTCGAAGCTTGATGTGCAGCTACGGACTCCGACGCCTCCCGTAGAGGTCATAATACCATCGACCCCTTGGACTGCAAGGACCCCAAAGACAGTGCTAGAGGCCCAATCGCATTCTAAGTATCTGCAAGGAAGGATCAGAAATCATAAGAGCAGCTCCCCTGAGTCAATAATTGAAGCCGTAAAGCATTTTGAGAAGGCAACAACTGTTCTTATGCATAAGATGGTCTTACTAGATGATAGGGTTCGACAACTTGAACAAGAGAATAAGACAGTAGGGCGACGCCGGAGGGGAAAAAGGACTAAGGTACAGAAAGAAGGGCCTTTAACTATAGGGGAAGCATTACAAGCAATTGATCAGATAGATATTGATGCGCAGCTAACAGCTGAATCCTCGAGAGGTGGTCGCGGAAGGTCACAAGGAGCAAAGGTTCGGCAGTGTAGTATTTGCGGAAAGACCGGGCATAATGCAAGGACCTGTCAGGAGGCAATTGAGGTCAATAGGGAATAGTATAACAATTAATTTTAATTGATCAGATAGATTGTGGTGTTTTTATTGCGAATTTAATTTGGAAGGTTAAGATATGTGGCTCACTCGCTTGTCTGGCTCACTCGCTTATCAAGCACGTTATAAGGTAGTTATCGCCTAAGAGGTCATAAGGCTGCAACACGGTACCGAGAGGGGCTGTAGCCAATTAAAATGCAAAGAACAAGAGGTACTTCTATCGCTTCCTTAATTACGCGGTGTTAGAAGTATCAGCAGGTTTCGTTATTACAAATCGGTACATCACATATCTTACTACCCGTATCTAGTCTGCCGACCGTGATGCCTTCCTCTTGCGTTGCTGCTGATTTCAGCGAAAGCACGCCTTTTTGGGCCTTTTGACCTTATCTGCCCTTGCCGGAAGCCTTGACAAGCTAGGCACCTTGGACCACGATAGTCATGGTTGATGTTCCTATCTATGTGTTTTTGCCGTGTTTCCTGATCATCGATGTCCTCTTCAGCTCCCGACTGATATCTCTTTCTTGCTTAGCTTTCTTGATCTATGTGTTAAAGAAGGCGTTTGAAATGCACTTCTGCCAATCCTCCTGTAATGTATATCTCTCCCAATTTGGCTGGGGACCATGCGGTTGGGGGATGTAGCTATTAGTTTCACGCTTAAGTGTTCAAGTTCTTCCCTATTAACTCTCTGCAGTTAGTTTATTAGTAGAGCTTATATTAACCTTTGCATAATGAATTAATAACTTATAAATGCTAGGTATAACTCCTCTAATTAAAAGGTCTACTTTAAATTAACTAGTTCTATATTAACTATTCATGTTGTGTTCTGTTGAAATCTACCCCTTAGAGGTTTTACCATTTCGGTTGTAATCTTAAAATATCCCTGCTTGCACGTGAGACCCCAGCATCTGTTCAACAATAACTTATAAGATTAATAAGCAGTAATTATATTGTTGCTAGAATGGTATTTAATTATAATATAATATTATTTTGAATTTGCAGAAACTATCTAATCTAGAGGAATAGATAATAATCTAATTTATCTTAGATTTAAATTTATAAGGATTTCCCTTATAATTGCATTTTGTTAAAGAATTAGCTAATTCTCTGCTAGCTAACTATAATATATTACTTATTAGTAAGTGCTAGACTTATAACCTTATAAAGTAATAACTAGAGCTAAAGATGTATTTAATTTAGAAATAAATACTAGAGAGCTAAATATAAAGATTTAATTATTATTTATAATTAGTTTAGGCTTATCGTGTTTGATAAGCGAGCGACGCACTACACTGTACAGCTAAAAATAGCTTACCCTATAGTAATTTATACCTTAAATAAAATAGCTAAAAATATAGAAAAAGCATTTTTAGTAATAGTATAGTAATAGCTATAATATATATTTTTACTAGACTTTTATAAAAATTCTTTTATAAAGAAAAGCTTAATTATACAGTGTAATTTACAGTGTAAATAGATTTTAAAGTTTATAGCTATATAGGATTTTCTTAAATTTTTTAAAAAGATAAAATACCTTATTTTAAGACTTATCTATATGTTATTATAATTATTGCTATTTTAGACTTAGTTTGGATTTTTAAAGAGTTTTTTAAAAATGGGATTTAAGGTGTATAGGGTAGTGCGTCGCTCGCTTGACTGCGTCACTCGCTTGACTGCGTCACTCGCTTATCAAACACGTTATATAAAATATAATTATAAAATATAATATCTAATTAGGTAATATTTAGAACTTTAATAAGACTGGCTTTATAATAGGTATTATTATAGCTAGAATAGCTATTATAGGCTTAAAAAGGCAAGGAAGATTAAAATTAGTATAGCCTAGAAACCGGGAATAGATTACAGTTATTTAGGCAATTAATACAGAAGGTTAATTAATCGCGCTATTTATTATTAATATAGGCCAATATTACCTTGCTAATTAGTACTAAGAATGCAACCTTTTAGATAATTAGGTTATTATAATAAGCTAAAATAGCTAGATAGATAATAAGCTAAGTTTTAAGTAGCTAAATTATTTTAATTAGTTTATAATTAACTAATTAACTAGTCCTTATTATCTTCTAATCCTTAATAGTTATAAAAGCTACTACTCTACTAATTTTAAGAGATACTATAAGGATAATAAGATTATTATACTCTATATATCAGCTTATCTATCTTACCTACTCTAGCTACTTAATATTAGGTGCTTTAGAGTACTTAAAAAGGTATATAGCTAAGAAATAGAGTATCTAATTAGATGCTTTATAACTTATATTTCTAAGACTAAGTTCTTTCCTGCCTTTTATGCTACTTTTTAAGCTATTATAATAGAAAGGAATATCCAGGGAGGTTTTAGAGCTGTTAGATTTTCTCCTTTTAATCTAGAAAATCTAATCTTAAAGCTTAATATGCAGCTAAAGACCCCAATGCCTCTAGAAGAGGATATTAAACCTTTAACCCTATAGATTTTAAAGATACCAAAGATAATAATAAAGGCCTAATCTTAGTTAAAATACCTTAATAAATAAATCAAGTAGTATTATAATAGCTCCCTAAAGTTAATTATTTAAGTTATAAAATATTTTAAGAAAGAAATAAGTATAATAGTTAGGTTTCCCAAGGGATAAACTAGTCCGTACTAGGTTTATGTTAGTAGATTTATAGGGCAAAGGCTAAGCAATAGTTTGAAGATGAAGAGCAACAACAAAGAAAAGACTGCACAAGACGATATCTTCCAATACTCTCAACTGCAAGCTAAGTGTAGACTGCCAGTTAGGTTCAATTGAGACAGGGTCTTCGTCATAAGATAGAGAATTAAACGATCAGTTCAATGATATCTGATACGAAGGAAAAGAGTAAAAGTTATATATGAAAAGAAAAGCATGAAAAGCTAAAGTCCTCGGGGGAATCCGTCCCTTTATGTCTGTTACCACAGACATCCATCTGACCCCACTAACGAAGCTTAGACCTCTTACCCTGGAATGCTTGCCGCAACCGTCACAATAGTTAAGTGTTACGTCACCTGATAATTAAGTAATATATATTAGGCTTATTAATATAAGGAAGTCTTATTAATAGCTAGTAAGTTAATATCTATAAAAGTACTAATAAATATATCCTATATATTTAAGTGGTTCTAGGGATTACTAAAAGAGAAAGAGTAATCTATGGTTAGGATTACTCTGGATTATATATAAGCCTTAAGTAATTTAGCAGGGATTATGGTGATCTAAGTGATCTATCTGGAGGGATCACTGTAGTAGCAGGGTGATCCTTCCGTGATTGGGTGGAATTTGTAGGGTGTATGTGACGTGGCTGCGAGGGTTGTAATAATAAATATAATTATACATAAGAATGCCTTTGTAATGGTTGCACAAGCCGTTAAACCACAGGGCAAAAGATCGGGCCATAATCGCTATGCAAGCAATTATAGGTGTGCTACAGCTGCCTTATAGAAGCCTTACAGCGCTGTTACGGTAACCAATCGTAAGAGCCTTATTAAGGGCTAAGAACTAAGATCTTTAATAAGTAAATAAGATACTTAGCTAGTATTAAAGTATAAAAAGGATTAAATTATAAAAAGGAGGGGTAATAATAGTAAAGGAAGTATAATAAGTAATTAATTAGGTAGATATTAATATATAGGTAGTAGTAAAATTATTAAAAAGTAATAGCTAAGGAAGGTTAATATAATTAGGTATTTAATATTATAGTATATATAATAATGCTAGGCATAATACAAGGACTTACTAAGTAGTTATTAAGACCTTTAGGGAAGAGTATAATAAGTAGTTTTAATTAATTAGATAGTTTATAGTGGTTCTAAATTAAATCCTAGCTTGAAGGCTAAGAAAAGTGCGGCGCTCGCTTATTAAGCATGTTATCTACTAACAAGAGCCCAAAGAAGCGGCCTATGCTTGTCTCTAAGCGGATGGGCTGCAGATACTTACCATTATGCCAAAAGCTGCAAGGCGGCCATGAGCACCATGCAGAGCCTAGCCACTCCCAGGGATGAGCATCTAGGAAGTGGAGCAATGTTGAGCAAATAGCGAGGGTTTTTTCATATGGCACCACTCTGTCATCCCCTGTCAATATTGGAAAATCCGAGGAACCCCTTTCCCTTCAGGATTCTGACTAACATTCTGAAAGTTCTAGAATTTGCCCAGTTTATGTTCTTTTTCCCCGAAAAAATGAAGGACAAATAGTTAAGACAAGGCTTCCAAGCACACCTCAGGTATCACCGCCTTAATATTCAATTTAATAGGAATAAGCCAAGATTAGATAATATTTATAGAATCCTGGAGTTAAGGTAGAAACCCGAAGAAGATGGATCCTTTTCCGAAAAGATTAAAAGGATAGCAAGTTGTTTTATAGCTTCCCTGTTCTATTTTGAATAAGACTTTCCCCAACCTTGAGTTGATAAAAATATTTAAGAACGAACCATATCTTGTGTTCAATACGGCACAAGGATCCAGCTTTTTCACTCCACTGTGATCATCTATCTAGAACTTCAGCTCATTTCTGGATCAATGGCTGGCCAGAAGTTAAGGTTGTCGATAACGATAGCTTTGAAAATGACAGAAACTTCCGAAAACAGGTGGAATTGAATACGGATAGTAAATTCGCTATAAGCCTAAAGCAAATCGCATCGGAACCGTGCAATACAGCAGGTTGCCCTCCTCAGTAGGCAGACTCGTACAGGCTTCAAAGCAGCGTTTGGTCAATCGGATCACAGAAAAATAAAGAGCGCCGGGCGTCCAGACAATCCAAAGAGAAAACAGCGAAGGACTGTCTGACGCTGGGAGGACCAGGAAATAGATTGCGAACCATTCTGTTTAAGAAAACGTTTACCTCGAGAGAAAACGATAACTAGTGATAGTATCTTCTACCAAATTGCAATTACAGTCTTCGTACCCAATGAACCTTGCACTGGTGGAGCAGACCTGTCATAATCACTTCATCAAAAGTAGAGGATTATAAACCGGAACAGCGATTACAGCCAGAACATTCAGTGAGGGACGTACTCCTAGTTAAAGTGACAGGAAATAAACAATTCCAATCATCTAGCATGTTACGAAGAATATCTGGGTCCGCGAGTATGGGGAAAGCTCGCTTGTGTTCCGCATCAACAACCCCCAATAGATCGCTAGCTCGGGTGCCATCGTCCAGTCGGGTCAATCTTTGAGCCTCATTGGGAACTTGAACCCTGCCGTCGGAACAAGGTGGAAGGGAGCTTTGCACCTCGGCCAAGGACCATCCATCTACTCCAGCGTATTGCCTCTTCGCTCTCCTCAACCTTCACCTTAAACGTCGTTTTGTTATTTTCGGAAATACGCTGTAATGAAGGATTCTTGCGTGGCTATTCATCACGCGCGGCCAGAAAGCAGTTCTGCCTCACAGCTGCTTGGACGCTTGTCCGATCCATTCGTAGCGTTCTCCTCATTTCCATGGTATGGAGTCATACAATAATAGCACAGACAACGCCGTTATCTTCTCTTGAGCCCATACTTAACTGCCGAGTCACACCAACGCGATGTTGGAAATCCTTCTCGCCTTACCAACTCCCCCATGATCAGGATTTGATTCCTCTCGGTGGCAATGGCAGGGCAAGGTTCCTAGAGACGCCGGATCAGCTAAGACTTCATTTCCGTCGGCTTGTTGCCTTGATTTCCAGACGCGAATTCTGATCCCCGATTAGCTAGGGGTGCCTAGTATCCAACTCTGGGCGATCCTTCCTTGACTCCTGGGTCCAATCTCGCGATTTAGGGTCGGCCGAGAGCCACATTTCCTCTATCCACGTTTACGGAGAGTAGAGCCCATTTGCCGTCCCAGTTAGGCCTCAGGTCTCGGAAACCATCCGTCCCTGTTAACAGTGTCTTTAATAAGCCTCAGATGTGAGCTCTAACCCATCGAACTTGTTCATCCCGGGGGGGTTGCATTCAGTCCTTAGGGAGAAACCACAGAGACAGTTTGAAGACCCCGTGGCAGGCTGTCCCTAGTCAGCGTCAACCAAGGGTAGAAAAGCAGCATACAATCTTGTAGGTGAAACGGGTGGATGAAGGATTCGACCAGTTCCGATGTGCGCCGACGCCTGCTCCATTTGGAGCAGATCTACGGAAGGCCAAGTGAACGAAAGCGAGATACAGTTAATGTTGCTTATATTGCGCATTAGTGCTGAGTGAAAATATTGCTTGAATTTGGTTGTTAATTATTGAGATGAGAGTTCTTCTCGGGTTTATATATCTAGAAGATTTCATCTAGAACTTTGAACTGTAAATTTAGGACTTTAAGACTAGCAGTCTGAATCCTGAAGGGAAGAGGGATTCCCGGATCTTCCAACAGTTAATAAAAGCCTATCTTCACCTTGCCACTTAATCATCGTCACATGCCAACCTAGACCTATGCATAGGCGGTTGCCGACCCTACCCCAATTACCCCAAGCTACCGTATAAGCAAGCCCGGTAAAAAAACTTTCAACGCCACCATGACGTGATCTATTTGTTTATCTACTATTAGGCTGGGAGCGTATAATGAGCGGAATGCAACATGATCGATCCATTGCATCGATACCGGTGCGATAGCGATCAGTGGAAAAATGTTGGGGCGGGATGTGACCAGCGGCGAGGAAATGGTTGGGGATGGTTGGGAAAAGTGTTGAGTCGACTGTATACATCATCCACGAGCAATCACCAGCATCAGCACCAGCGGCAGAACTATGTACCTTGTCTTGGAGATGTTGCATTCGCGGTGAATAATCTTGACTTCGGCATCTGGTCAGGACTGACTACTTACTCGCCCGACATGATGATAATCAGAAACGACACTGATCTTAAAGGCCTAGAGAAAGAGTTCTGGTCAGGAATCCCGCTTTCTTGCAAGTTCTTGCACACAGGCGCCGCACTAGCCACCTAGATACCGGACTGTCAGGTTTATCGCCCGCCCTCGAACATGCGACCTCTACTTATATATAATGCGGACGATTTGCGGACGATTCGGTTTCTAAGCTGTGTGTTACGGTTTTAACCCTTTCGTCACAGCAGCGGGAGCTTTTCCCACCCAGACCTGCCGGCTCAGCCCAGCGTGGGGCCATTAAAGTTTGGAGATGCGACTTTGTTGGGTGTTTGAGCGAAACGTGTTCCATCGGCCTTGACAGCAAGATAGGCTTCTGAAGAGAGCAATTGGGAAGAAAAATATAGGAATATCATAGGGACACACGTCACTTACTCAAACACTCACTCGCTCGCTTGCTCACATACATGTAAATCCGTGGGCGATCGATCTCGCATCGTCTTACTCTCAAGTCCCCTTCCTGCCCCTGTCTTTCGTCTTTCCTTTCTATCATCTTCATTCTTGAACAGCACTACGAATACGGGTGGCCCTTTTCGACTACTCCCCGTTCTGGTTGTACCGTAAATCCAACGCCTAGGGGAAAATTTACATCCTGTAATCCATCCACTCCTCTGGGTTCAGTCTGACGTGAAGCCTTTGGCACCACCCCAGCCAACCGACGACCCGCCAATCTATCCTTTTCCTCCCTCTAGTCCGCCTTACCTATCTATATCCTGACTTCCTCCTCCCATTTCACTTTCGTAATACCACTCTCATCGAGGATTTTCGCATTGCGAGAAGAGCCCTGCTAATTCATCGTTGTGGACGACTCTCTCAAGCAGTCTCACTACTTGTCTGACTACCGATCAAGATGTCATCGTCGCCCTGGGCCAGCAAGGAGGCCGCGGCCTTCCCAGACGGAACCACCGACTACGAGCCGCTCCGAAGTAACACCAAGGATGATCCCGGGAGGGTTCACATTGCCGACACTCCAATGACTTGGCCCAACATTCATCTCCACATTAACTGGCTCAACACAATTCTCATCGTCATTATTCCCATCATTGGATTTATCTCTGCCTACTGGATTCCTCTCCACCTCTATACCGGCATCTGGGCCGTCATTCTCTATTTCAACACCGGTCTTGGAATCACTGCTGGTGAGTTTGTTGTGCAAATGTCCTCTAATCAAGTGTACACTCCTTCCAATGATTGTTGATACTGACAATATTGCCTTTTTCAGGATACCATCGTCTTTGGGCTCACACTTCCTACAAGGCCACTACTCCCCTCAAGATCTACCTAGCTGCCGTCGGTGCTGGTGCTGTTCAGGGTTCTATCCGCTGGTGGTCTCACGGCCACCGTTCTCACCACCGATATACCGACACCGAGAAGGACCCCTACTCCGTCCGCAAAGGTCTCCTCTACTCCCACATCGGATGGATGATCTTCAAGCGGAACCCCAAGCGCCAGGGCCGAACCGACATCACCGACCTTAACGAGGATCCCATCGTTGTCTGGCAGCACCGCAACTACTTCAAGTGCGTCATCTTAATGGCCCTTGTCATGCCTACCACCGTCGCTGGTTTCGGTTGGGGTGATTGGCTCGGCGGTTTCGTCTATGCTGGCGTCCTCCGAACCTTTTTCCTCCAGCAAGCCACTTTCTGCGTCAACTCCCTCGCCCACTGGCTCGGTGAGCAGCCCTTCGACGACCGAAACTCTCCCCGTGACCACGTTATTACCGCTTTCGTCACCCTGGGTGAGGGCTACCACAACTTCCACCACGAGTATCCCTCGGATTACCGAAATGCCATCAAGTGGTATCAATATGACCCCACGAAGTGGTCCATCTGGATCTGGAAGCAGTTTGGCCTTGCCTATAACCTGAAGCAGTTTCGCCAGAACGAGATCGAGAAGGGTCGTGTCCAGCAGTTGCAAAAGAAGCTCGACCAGAAACGTGCTACCCTTGATTGGGGTATTCCCTTGGAGCAGCTCCCAGTTATCCACTGGGACGACTTCATTGCAGATTCCAAGAACGGAAAGGCCCTCGTTGCCATTGCTGGAGTCATCCATAACGTCACCGACTTCATCAAGGACCACCCCGGCGGTAAGGCCCTCATTTCTTCTGCTATTGGTAAAGATGCCACCGCCATCTTCAACGGCGGTGTCTACAACCATTCCAACGCCGCCCATAACCTCCTGTTAACCATGCGTGTGGGTATCCTCCGCGGTGGCTGCGAGGTTGAGATCTGGAAGCGTGCCCGATTCGAGAACGAGGACGTTTCCTATATGAACAATTCGGCCGGCCAACACCTCGTCCGAGCCGGTGCATAAGCCACCAAAGTCACCTATCTCATGGCCAGTGCCGCGCAGGTGTCCGATGGTTTCCAAGCTTTGATCTCTCCCAGAAAGCGCGCTGGACCTGCCCCGGCTGACCAGTGCACTGTCGGTGGCTCTGGTTCCTGACTTGGCGAGACTGGTGCCGAGACCGGAGGGTTAGTGATGCCAATCAGCTTTTTTAGTATGTCTGAGGTATCGACGGCCATGTTTTATTGTGACTCCTGTTGTAGTCGGCTCACTTGCACTATTACTTGATCTGAGGTGTGTCTTTCGAGGAGTCCGTTCAACATCTGGGCGTTGCCACTCGAGTGAGGGGTCAGCGTCTCATTGATGGCGGTGCATCTTCATTCTTGGAGTCGTTGGCTTTCCTTTTACCGCTGGGAAACTTGCTGTATATATTCTGTGCCATTGTAGTGAAGTTGCCGTCGATGGCGGCTACCGGACTGTCCAAGCAGGCCAGAAGTTCTAGGCCGAGACTGGCAATGAATGCAGGCGGAGAGATGCTGGATGCTTCTCATGGTAGTTCTGGTTATAGCGTAGTTATCCCACATACTCCATGGGAAATCTCACTAACTGGAGAGAAATTCTGTATTTTGTAGTGTATTCGCGTGATGTAGAACGTTATTAGATCATCCTGCTCGCCCGGCGCTAAATGCTCTGATGGTAGACCTTGCGAATCCTTGTAGCCAAATTGTTTATGGGCCCTGGTCCTTATCATGCAAAGTCTACCTACGTTATATGCGTGATTGGGGGCGAGTGAACATTTAAAGTTACCATACAGGCACATAAAGCATTCGAGCTAGGGTATGAATCATAATAGCGGTGTCATTGTTCTCCTCTCCCTTGCATGCTACCATCCTTTTGCTTTATCTCTTTTCTTTTAGGGCGAATTCTTCAGACACTCGTCGATTTCCTTCTTGAACTTCTCACGAATGACTTTCCGGTTCAGTTTATGCGTGGCAGTGACAAGTCCCTGGAAATAGGTCAATGGCTGCACCTATACAGGTCTAGGTGTTTGAGACTTACGCTTAGTGGGGTCCACTCCTCATCGGTGATAACTATGTCGGACACAATTTCCATGCCGGCTAGGCCAGAGCGCTTGCCGGCGGTCTGGAGATCCTTGAGGATGAGGCTGTGGACCTTAGGGGTGTAGTGCATGCTATGCTCATCTACGCCTAGGCCCTTAATCTTCTCTACCAGAACTGTCTGGTTGGGTACGATGACGGCGATGGGGCGTGAGTGTTCAGAGTCGGCGTGTACCATAATGTTGGTTATGGTTTGGGTGCCTCGGTAGACTGACTCGAGCTTCTCCAGGGCGATATACTCACCGCCCTGCGTCTTGACGAGATTCTTGACTCGGTCGATGACTCGCAGATGGCCGTTCTCATCGAACTCGCCGATATCACCTGACTTAAACCAACCATCGTGAGTAAGGGCCTTCTCTGTCTCCTCGGGGTCGTCATAGTACTCTTTTATGATCGGAACACCCTTGAGCCAAATCTCACCCTGAGGGACCTCTGCGTCCGTCGAGTATCCAATATCAGGAATGGAGACCAATTTCACATCAATAGCAGCAGGGACGGGGCCAATTGAATTGGGTGAGTACTCAAGTGGGCAACCCAAGGCGCCGTTGGCGCAAGTTTCAGTGAGACCATAACCAGCCAACATAGGGGCGAGGACCATGGACAGGAAGTGCCTGGTGTCATCGGAGATGCCACTAGCCCCGTTCATGGTGAATCGAATTCGGCCACCAGTAAGTTCTCGAACCTTACTGAAGACGATTCCGTCAAATATCCCAGCTCCTGGGAGGTTATTTTTAGACATAAAAGTCTTATAGTTGAAGGAGCACCAGAAAAGCGCCTTGATGATAGGACTAGAGGCGTCGAGCTTGGATATGACTCCCTTCTTGACGGTTTCCCAGATCTGAGGAACGCCGACCATGACAGTGGGCTTAAACTCCCGCATATCACCAGCGCAGTTCTTCACTGAGGAGTCGGCGAGTGTTCTGTGGTTACCGTATCCAAGGGTTCCGCCAATGAACAACACGAGGTTCTCGAGTGCCATCTCGAAGACGTGAGCTAAAGGCAAGTAGGCAAGCACGTCCTCCTTGTCGCTAACGCATTCCTCAACACAGGTATAGAGACCGGTAACTGCACCCGATGGAGTTAGTCAAGTCTGTACATAGGGCAAGTAGTGTGTGGATAGGATTGAGAATATACCTCCAGCAACGAGCGCCTCGTGCGTGATACAGACCCCCTTGGGAGGACCGGTAGAGCCGGAGGTGTACATAATGCAGCAAAGGTCGGGGCCTTTTGCCGGCACCGGATCGAGCGGGTTGTCCTCGCCCATCTTTCGCAGCTCCTCGAAAGTCAGAATCTTGAACTCTCGGTGGGCCTGCTTGAACTTTTCGATCTCATCCCCAGTCGCGAATATGCAGCGCTCATTGACAATGATGGTCTTGACGTTGGACTTCTTTAGGGGGCGGGCAGCAGTCTGGAGGAGGTGAGGGTCGACGTACATAGCTTCGGCCTTAGTCTGGAGGAGGGAGTGCTCAAGGCCGCTCTCGCCGAGTGTATCGTAGGCGGTGACTATAGTGATAGACTGGGAGGCGCAGCCATGGGATATGGAGATCCAGCTTATGCTAAGGAGGTTGTGAGCGCAATCCGGCGTGGGTTAACCACAGGAAAAACATGCCTTGTGGCACCGAAGAGGTGAAGCTTGTGCTTCGGCGTTAGGCCCAGTTTGCGCAAGCCATAGCCGACCTGGAGCACAAGCTGCTCGTACTCCTTGAATGTCAAGTAAGAGAATTTGGAGAGCTCGAATAATTGCCACTCCTTCTCGAGCTCCTGGATCTCCCCTTCGACGTTCTTCTGGACCTTCCTTCTCTCCTTGTGTAACTTTACGAGTTCCCGGGAGCCGACTGCGCGGTGGTTGGGGTAGACGCGCGCGCTGCGGCGGACGATATCGAATACGGTGTGGACGTCGTTGACGGGACGGTTGATGAGGCCGTCCTTGGCTCGGGGGTGGCGACGCGGGACGGTCTCGCCGGGGACCTTCGCGTATCCGGGAGCTTCGATGGTGAACGGCGGCTTATGTACCTGGTTCAAGGGTATGAGGCCCGACGTGTAATCCATGATGGTGACCTCGGGAGTACGGTCGGGGTCAAAAGAAGCTCAACCTATTCTATAGAACTTTTTCTATGGAAAAGAGACGGGTATGATTGTGTACATGGAGTCGGAGGGAAATAATGCGGAGGGGTATTGGCGCAGCAGCGATATGAGGCAAGACTTTCGATGCAGCAGCCGGTGGACGGAGACCAGCGCAGCCTATATAGTGGAGTCGGTAACCGCTGACGACATTTCGACAACTCTAAGAACAGATAGAATTCTATGAGCAGCAGCTAATGCACAAGCTTCCTAGCTTAGCGAGGCGTGGCGCTTTTCAGCCAATGTAACCCACCCCTCGGCGAGACATTACGTGGCAAATAAAGTCATGACCTAGCAAGACTGTTACAAATGATGATAATCCAGGAGCCTGTCACGAGTCCTGGTTCTCTAATGTGTCTTATTGGATGTGTGTATGTTCTTGGTTGAGTTGCTTCCCCGCTCTAAGTCCCATATACATCTTTATACTGGGGTCTGACTGGAGTATCACTGCTATAACGATCGCACGCCCCATTATGTAAAATACACAACGTGACACACCCCCTATCCTATCCTACTCAAGTATTAAATACAAAAACGGGGCCGTTCCCGGTTTTCATCCAATCATATGTCTCCATTCTAGCAAGGTTTATGCTACATGAGAACGGGGCCCGTTCCTGATTTTGACTCTCAACAGTGATCTGGAAACGGGGCGCATTTCCAGGGGAGAAATTTGGGGCAAGAATATGGAGATTTTGATTGGTGCAGAAGTGGAAATGCGGTGCATTTCTTGTCTACATGCTTGATTAGGGTCGTAACAGAAGACCACTCTATTTATGTTTTAGCGGTTTGCCATGCACAAAATCGCTCTTCATTATCAATTATAGTCATATGTATGGTAGGGAGATAAGTTGTCAGCAGTCGAGTTCCGTAGCTCGGGCAAATTCCTCTTATACCACGGCCAAAGCGTATCCATCGACCAAGCCCTCAGTTTCCGTAACCCAGCAATGACCTGAAGCACACCAACAGTCGAATCCGTACTTCCAAACTCCACACTCGGTAGTACCGTCTATCCACAAATATCAATACACATTCCTCACATTCAAATAAACAATACACTTACTGTTATAGCTTGATTCCAGGTCGTGATAACAAGTGACCACGAGCGGCCTTGTACCACTACCAGGAAGAAAACCAAGTTCATCGACGGCAGAAGGACCAGCGCGTGAGCGGAGGAACTCCCATTGGGCTGCGTGCCAGATGGCGAGCTGCTGTTCGCCTTTGGCTAGGTCGCCACCGTGACGCTTAGTTTCGATGGAGATGCCTAGGGGGTACTGTTGTAGCATCCTGTCAAATGTCCAGTTGAAGCATGGCGCTATGTCTGGTTGTATTTGCTGTGGTTCTTGTTGCGATGGTAGTGGTGCATCCCCAGTCAAGATGGTAGAGTCGCGTTTAGGATGGAATCGAAAGATATAGTCAACACGGCTTGCACTTGCAGCAAACCTGTGATATGGAAAGTCGATATTGGTCGTGGTACGCCGGTGCAAGATGGGGACAGCGATGTAGACGGCGCTGGGTCTGACAGCGTAGATGGTCTCAACATTACAGTTGTTGATGACGAGGAGTATTGCCCTTCGTTGTCAGAGGCTCAAGGATATGATTCTGGAGACGATTCCGAAGATGACGAACTGCATTGTCGCAAGCGTCGCAGGGTGTCCCCATCCCCTCAACCTCGACTCGCAATACCCCCGCCAGTGCTCGGAGCTCTCGCCAGAGACGATCGATAAGACGTACCGCGCCACTACCCAGAGGGCGTCGAACATCAGTATGCGGTAGTGAGAGTCCAGTACCATCACAAGCAGGACCAGTCTCCTCCGACGCTAGCACGTTTCTTGCTCGATTCGAGGAATGGCCTCTCAAAGATGTTTCATTGAAGCGTATCACTGAGAGCGGCAAGATGACGTTTCAATTGCAGTTTGAATGGACCCCTGACTCAATTCAGCTGTGTGATGATGGGTCCATATCGTATCCTAAAAAGGGAAGAGGACCACCTCAGGCCTCCCTTTCGGCTACAAGATCGCCTGGTGATAAGTGGACGTCAGAAGAGGAAGATGCTGTGCGCAGGATGAGACAAGGCGGCCATTCTTGGGCAGAGATCCAGCGCGCCCTTCCTCATCGTTCCCAGGGCACGATCCAAGTTCGGTACTCGACTAAATTAAATAAGAGTTCACGTGGTAGAAGGGCATCAGGCTAGCCCGATAGTATATCGAGTTTATGAAAAATAAATGCTTTCTTTTCTTCGTGTACCCGGCGTTGAAGGCCGTCAACGCCAAGAATCAACGCCTAAGGAGCTTACTTGGCGTGTACAGGGTCTCGGAAGATGAAATTGAGCGATATCTACCCTCCCCCGAGGAAGATCATCAGGCATTGAATGCTCGACACCGATGCAACACATGTGGACGTTTATTACTTGGAATAACGCAAACGAGAGTCTGTCGACGGATGATCCGTCCCAGAGCTCCTTTGGGCCTGTATTACGCATGGCTGGAGACCCGGTGCCGATCTTCGCGTCGGTGTTGTCAAATCCTACTCTGCCGGCGCCTGGCCGAAAACAGCCGTCATCTACCGAGCCATCGATCGAATCGATACAACCCGAGAAGAAAATGAAGGAGTCTTCATACTTCAAGTAGAGGAACAAGGATTTCACCATCAAATGCATGCGGCAAACAGGCTTGACAACACAACTGCTGATAGTTCCTCAGCCCAAACAGGCGTGCTCTCTCCGCTCTCTGACTCTTTCGATTCATCAGATTCCATCATCCATTCTTCTAACCATTCGGAACCGCTAGAAACCTCGTGCGACAAAGCGGCGAAAATGGCTCGTCGAACTTCACAACCATACAGATCCATCGTGGGCTCGTTTGGCCCTGGGGTGTCATGGAGATAGCAGCTGCTCTGTCAAGAACACGAAAATCTTTCGGCTCATGGATCATCTCGACTAGGCGCACGTCGACGAGTATGTTGAGTTTTGCTACCTAAGAGAACACTGGAAGCATATTAGTATTGCTCGATTCTCAGAGAATTCACGCCAAGAAGATTACATGAGCCTAAATAGTCTATCTAGTGACATTCGGAAGCATTTTCACCAGATCCCCGAAGCCGCGTTGTCGATGCAAGTCTGGCTCATCCCTTTACTTCCAACCCCATCTGTTGGCCATCCAGCGAACGGCATACACCAAGCCTACCAAGACTGGGACTTCGATGAGCGGCCCAACGGTCGATGCCAGGGCTTGGTCGCTGTTGGGGCCAAAGGTCGCGACCGCCACGGCGATAGCTAACTCGAAGTTGTTGCTCGCAGCAGTGAAGCTCTGCGTAGCCACCATGGAGAACCGGAAGCTGAGCTGTCAGCTGATCCATAACGTGACGAAGAAGATGAGCACGGAATACACAATTAGTGGCGCAGATACCCGGAAGACCGACACAATCTGGTGAACATCCCAGAGTACAAGAATTGCGGGAATTAAGTAAGTGGAGCGACGGGCATATATGGATTAGCCCTGAGCAGCATGGCAACTTGGTTGGCCCCCTCAGCTGTGATTAATATGTGCAGAAATATGAACCTAATCAACGTCACAGACGGGCATCTTCAAGCAGCAGATTGACTGGATCCCATTATGCTCCGGCTCAGTGCGTCCTACTCATGGAAGAACTTTGGCCATTGCCCAAGTAAGCGAAGGATCAGTCTTTCAACGCTGTCGACTCGCTTCGGATACTCGGATGGTGGATGCGCATGTTTGCCATTCCCAACCAGAGCTCGGTGCCAAAGGCATACACGCAGTTCACATCTGAGCCTGAGGGCAGCCGTATGCTTGCCAGCTCAAACCGCGACCGCCTCGTTGATTGCATGGAAGAGCTTGTGAAGTATACCATCGTCATGAGACCCCATTTTGACTTGTTTGGGGATCGATTCAGTGAGCGCGAGGAGCGCAGGGCCAAGGAAGCAAAAGGGAAAGTGTGAAAGTAGGCGGCACGGTATAAAGATTTGTGTTTCATATTAGAATAGAGCTCCCCTGTCGAAAAGCAACCGGCAGAACCCTGTCGGCCATAAAAGGGATTGAATGGTCTTGATGGTTGATGGAGTTAAATGGCAAGAGCGTATCTAATTTTGCTTCTCTCCTGTTCGCGAATATGTTTGCTTATTCGTCAGTGTGATGGATGGCGGCGGTACAACAAACCTGCAGGTGCATGGCGACATAATGTTCAGCCGGCAAGGTACAGATGTTCCATCAACGTGCCCAGCTAAGCCCATCGCTTTGCGGATAGCATCGTCAGAACGACATGTTGTAGTGCTAGCTGTATCGAACAGAATGCCATTCTTTGTCTCTTCTAACTCTGTTTCAATTGATCCTTCTCAAGAGCATGGCTGAATGAATGATTGATAGCACTACGAGAGAACTTATTTCCAAACCAACTGCTACATGTAATCGCACTACTACTAGAAGAAGAGGAGGAGGAGGAGGAAGAGGAGGAGGAGGAGGAAGAGGAGGAGGAGGAGGAGGAGGAGGAAGAGGAGGAGGAGGAGGAGGAGGAAGAGGAGGAGGAGGAGGAGGAGGAGGAGGAGGAGGAGGAGGAGGAGGAGGAAGAGGAGGAGGAGGAGGAGGAGGAGGAGGAGGAGGAGGAGGAGGAGGAGGAGGAGGAGGAAGAGGAGGAGGAGGAGGCTACACTGAACGGTCTGTTGTGATAAAGGACTGACTAAAACGAGTGCGATGAGACAAAGAACAAACATGGTGATACGCCGATGCTCGATCCCGGGTGGATGTGTCCGGCATTAGCTCTGAGACACGCCTCATCCGGCATCGTGCGATACCAACAGATCCAGAGACTGACTGGGAACGACACAGGACTATTGAGAACAACCCCAAGCTAAAAGTTGTTGCAAGGTTCACCACGATCAACCGTAACACACCGCGTGCCTCCACCGCAAAGGATTTTCACAGCGTATCCCAAGCATTGTCATCCGATTCCATCTGCTCGTCCTCGCTTGAGCCCCCCGCATTCGTAAACTCTTGGAATAACGCTATATCATCAAACCTGTCGGCCAGGCTCTCCACGCTGGCCTCCGAAGGGTTCGTCATGGCAAGGTTCAAGTCCGCCATAAATGTGGCCCGGATGTCATATGATGGGTTAATTAACCGGTTTTCCTCGAACTGTTCCATTATGTGTCGCGCCTCGCTCGCTGGTAAATCGCCTTGCTGCAGTGCCATCGATAGTAAACTTCGGCCGATGGCTTCTGCAAAGCGGTATGCCTGCCGTAGACGTCCGTAGCATTGAATGCAGAAAAAGAGATAGAAACGCCAAGTAGGGTCCTTTGTGGCGCCAAGATTAGCGTTTGCGACATGAATCAGGCCTGTATGCCATAGCATCGTATAAGTTGAAGACATATAATTCTTGCGGTATACCACTATAAGGCGCTTGAGTTGATTTACAGACGCTTTATAAGCCGCATCGGGCGAGCTCCTCTTACAAGGAAATGTCTTGAATCGTAAAGACCTCGAAGAGTCCCTCGCTCGAACCGTGAAGGGGTGCAAGATACTAAGAATTGCTACGTGAAACCAGATACTGTCGTACTGTTAGAAGTCTTTTAAGAACTTCGTTCAGAAAGGAACAAAGAATTGCAACATACTGAAAGATCAGAACATGATGTGGACTTTGTTCTGAGCGCACCATCGACGGTGGCAGCGTTTCTGCCCAAGCTATGAGCTCGCGATACTTGTATTCGGCAAATGCAAGTGTGATATGATCGCTCAGGCCCTCGCGCGGATAAGGCTGATCGCGATAGTATCGCAAAGTCACTTGGTGGATTATTCGCCAGAATCGGCAAAGGACTGGAAATGTGTCGCCCATGTAGGTCGACTGCAAAGTTTGGCGGATAGACTCGGGGCTGCCTTCAGAGGTTTCATGCCAGCCATTTCCCGGTATGGGCCATACGGGAGGGTGTTCAGGGTATGAAAGGCCGGGCTGTTGGTAAAATAGAGCCATAAGCCTGACGATGTTAAGCCTCTGGATATTCGGCGCTTACTCTCAGCGTATCAACTTACACTACCCAATTGAAGCTGCCCCAGGCGGCATAGGATGTTGCACTATGTAGTTCAGAGTTTACTTCTCGTACCTTGGGCATTGCAACAGTGTGTTCGGTTCCGAAAAAGCCCATACGTGTTCCCATGGAGTTTGCTTCTGACACATACGTCAAGGCATAATGATCTTTTCCATCGCCCAGATATGCCAAGCCTAGCAACGGTATTCCGGCGAGAGTTAAAAGAGAATCTGTCGACTTGTCTTCTGCCCAACGCTTTTCCGTCTCGTCACTGAACTGAGGCGTATAATTTTTGACGGTCGGATCGAGCGCACTATACATTTGCTGTTGTATTTGTGTCAGCGAGGCAGATGCTGCTATGAGTAGTTCAGGCGACCTACACAACCCCAGTACATGACGGCACTAAGTAGAAATGGGCTGCAAAACCTCGTTTCACAGTTAATCAAGTCATTCACAAATAGATCCGGATCAAAGGTACCCAGCAGGGGGTGATCTGTTTCCAAGTATAACAATATAATCTTGGCAGCCAAATCGGAAGGAATAGGCACGGTAGTCCAGAAACTTATGTTCAATTTCTCCAATCGCTCGTCACAAGGGCGTAAGATCGGTGTTGGATATTGCCGAGGATGATGGGTTTGAAATGGATTGGATTCGAAGTCAAACGGCGAGCCAGCGTTCTCGCTGTCGGTGGCTGATATGCGGCCAGTGCTGAGAACTGCCCTACAGGGCGTCAGCTGAAACTGAAAAGAAGGAAGTTGAAATTTGACAACGAAAGGCTGAATGTTGGGGTTTGCCTCGGCGTGATTTAACTGACTTCAAGATACTAGTCTCGAGGGGTTGGAGCGACGGGAAGGATAATGAATGCCTTGCCATAAGCTCAGACTCTAAACCTAAATGTCGAGTAGGCCCACGAGTCCGCTCTTGGCTAGAAATATGTCGTGTTGGACTTATTCTCGGTTGGATTATTGAGAAGACTGTGTCAAGATCGCTGTGACATCGTAGAATTCGTAGGACGTGGATGGCCTGGCTCTCGGGTCCTGACTTCATAACGTCGAAGAGGTCAAGAATTTGCTCCGTTTCTTTGCTCGTCTGGCCTTGGATGTGGCTTTCGACGTAGACACATAGCTCTTGTACGCCTCGTTGTCGACAAGCCTCGCAATGAGGCTTTTTTCCGTCGCACTAGTTACCAATGTTGAGATAAAGATAATGATGAAGTTGGTGTTTATGCAGCTTACTCGAATCTTTCTTTTGCGGCATGTGTTGCATGCTATCTGTGTTCCGGTCCGTTGTCGCTTGAACGGCTCACTACTTGAGGATCCGGAAGTAGAAGAAGATCCAGAAGGGTGCGAGTTGGATGCTACGCCGTCTGTATCCGGGGTAGGGAGTAGCTGACGGTATCTCTTAGACATTGCTGAGGGTTAGATACTAGCTGGGGATGGCTATAGCCGAGGAACAAGATATCTTTCGATCGCGTCGAATAGGTAAAACTAGGAGGTAATTATGATGGATAGATACATTGCGCCCCAGGCTGCCAGGTACTGTCCTCGAGTGGGATTCACGTGGCCCTGATAATCGTGATTTCTGAGAAATGTACACGCCCAATGATTGGCTCGATAGTTTCGGATCCTCCGTTGGGGTCTCATTGGCTGAATGACCAGCGACAACTGGCGATTTGCTGTCCTATGAGGGTCCATCGATGGCCTGTCAAGCGGGGTGCTTATTTATCTCTTTGAGCGGCATAAGGCTCCGGCAGGTCACTCGCCCCACATTGCTTACTAACAACACTAGTACCTGCGGGGTACGTGAAGTTCTCGTCAGACAGCTTCTTCATTCAACACAGCCAAAATCATCAAAATCCTCATACAAATTGACCCTAACGCGTCTTAATTAAAACGATGAGCTCCCAAGAGATACCTGATTATATAGATGATCACAGCTTTGATACCCCGCCTTTGAGGGCGGCTGATGACCCCACCGGCGTGCCTAATTTTCCGCCCGAAGAGGGCTGCGGTGATGATTTTCAACCTTTTAACCTAGAATATCGTGATTTCAAGATCAACCCTCTACCCAAGGAACCACTTGAATTATTCCAGCTTTTCGTACCTATTTCCCTTGTACAGTCATGGATTAAATACACCAACAGCTGGGTCACTCACTTACTTGAAAATGGCATTATTGACAACTGGAATACCCCCCTTTCCAAACAGCCCCGCATTCTCAAGTGGGAAGGCATCTCTACTGCAACAGCTTATGTATGGCTTGGGGTCCTTATTTACCTAGGAATTCATAGGGAAATATCGATCAAAGACCATTGGAAGACCCCTAGCCTAGGAGATCAGCGCCCTCTTCACTCAATCATCAAGTTCATGCCGTTACGGAAGTTCGAGCTGATCACGAGGTATTTCCGCACTTTTGACTACACCAAGCTCGATGTGAGGGATGAGAGCGACCTTCCAAAGACCTTCCAAGCGGCTGAAGAGTGGTCTAATCACATACAAAGCGTGTCTATCGAGCTCTATTCTCCAGGGACTAACTTCACTGTAGATGAGTGTATGATCCCTTTTACAGGCAGATCAAAAGAGACAACAGTCGTCAAGAATAAACCCACGCCCGTGGGGTTCAAAGTCTGGGTTATCGCCCAACAGGGCTTCTTTCTGCAGTGGCTTTGGCACGTGAAGGCATCACCATATAAGGCTGTTATAGTCGAGCTACCTACACCAACGCCGTATGGCAAGAAGGGAAAGCTACGGACCGAGATTCCTCTCAACAATACACAAAGCGTCGTGGTTCACCTACTAAAAAGGCTGTCAACGCAGACACATCACGTCTTCACGGATAACCTCTTCTCGTCGCCGCAGCTCTTCCGCCTTCTTCGGCAGCTTGGCCACGGTGCCACAGGCACGGCACGCCCTAACTGCGGCATCACCACCGAGATGAAGCATATAAAAGAGACCGGAAAAGCTCCTGACGGCATAGCTTTGCAATATAATAAGGTATATTTGATCCCGACACAAGATAAACAGGTATGGACAGCTTTACCTGTATTTCCCTTACTAATTTGTCCTTTTCCTTTCTCCTTAGGTCATCCAAATCGCTTGGAAAGATAGCAGCATCGTGCTCTTCCTTTCAACTGTGCTTAGCGGAGCCCCTCACGAGCGCACACCAAAAAAGAGGAAAAAGCCCGCCAAAAGAGGCACAAAGGCAGAGTCACAGCGCCTGCAGCAGGTCTTCAATGGTGATAGCTTCAAGATAATCCCTATTCCTACTGTTGCCGCTCAGTATAACGATGAAATGAATCACGTTGACCGCGGCGATCAGATACGGTCTTATACAACATATCAGCACCGATTCCGGCGCGGTCCTTGGCAAGCGTTGCTTTGGTCTTTCCTCCTTGAAGTCGCACTTGCGAATAGCTTCATTTTACAGAAGAAAACACGGCAGCCTCGTTGGAAGCCCTATAGCACGCTTAAAGCTTGGAAGGAGTGCATTTATAATGCCATTTTCAACAGATACGCAACTGAAAGTCACATAAGGAAGAGAGGCCGTACAGGAATGGAAGAAGACATCGAGGATACAGAAGCACGGCAAATTCACCTACAAAGAGATATCAATCATGTCCATCGGGGCATACATTCAAGCTGCCTAGCTTGCAAAGGCTTCCGGCAGGGTCAGGCCCGACCCTTTAAAAGGAAGAAGGAAAAAGGAGGTTATCTACAGCCGATATCAGGAAATGAACGAAGGGTGCAGACCGTGTACGGCTGCAAAGTATGTGATGTAGCTATTTGTAACACGGCTGACTGCTGGTACTTCTATCACACGCAAATTTAGGTGTGTGAGAATGTACTTCAAGTAGCGCTCATTTTGATAGGTCCTACACCCCTGTCGTGACCCCGCCGGAGCTTTATGCCGCCTGAAGAGATAAGGGATATTGACGATCACTTTGTTCCCCCGCAAATTTGGACACCTCCCCATCATGATGGCAAACTAGTAATTTGCCCCATTTTGATAGTCCTATAGGAATCCTGAATCGCGGGGTGTTTGTTTGCTCATGACGCAGATAAATGGGGGCCGCGGCCAATAAGGAGCACACAATACTGCTCGATCGCTATACACCACAATTTCGATTTTAGGCTCACCGAAAAGGACAGTAGAGAACCCATCCAGCTTGACCCAAAGGAAGTCACCCAGGCGAACACATCGCCACCGTAGGTTCCACGCTTCATATATTGCGACGAGTCCCCACAAATCGGAGTCGGATTTCTAATACCCTTCTTCACGTGCCATGAAAAGTTTTAGGATACCACCTGTATTGATCATTGGCTTCCAATTGCAAATATCTGGTCTAAGCATCCCAAACTAACGAGGAACAGTTCTCACCACACATAAATAACCATCTTACGCCAATCGGACGATTGACCGTATCCTCGTACTTGGTACTAACAATCGTTTCAAAGACCCTGGAACAGAATCATGCTGGATGTATCTTTTGATTTTACAAGAAGTCGTACCTTGTATGTGTCACTTCCTCGTCGTGCCCTTGAGGCTCTCTCAATTGTGAGTACTACTGCCGAAAATGGCTGGCTGTGGCTGACGTTCGGATACAAATGACGTACTCACAAGCGAGTCGGACAAAAGATTTTTAAACTTCGACACAAACCGTAGGATAAAAACACAACAAAGCATCTCATCTATTAAAATCAATTACTGTACTCTTCCCCACTTACCCTTACAACTATCTGACATGTCTTTGTGTTATAGCCGGCCTTGCCGCACGTTCCACAGCGCCTTTCCTTCAGTCGCGCCGACCCTCCTCGACCACTACTTCCCGACGATTCAGCCTGTATCTGCGTATTGGTATCCATCTGATCGATTGCTTCCCTTCCTTCCTCTACAGCCATCTTCCCTCTATTCTGTAGGCGCATTCTTTTTGCTCTTCGCCGCTGGCTAAGGGTCTCATTTGACTGTCGATGGATCTGCATCGCAGACTTCAATAATGCCATCTCATGCATTATTGCCTTGGTTCCCTTAGAAAATGACTTAAGAGCCTCAAGAATCGATGCCGGGGAGCTGTTCTGATGCCTTCTGATTCGTCTTGCTATGTATTCAGACTGAGAGCTAGCCTCGAGGACTGTCTTTGGGGTCTTTGATGCCCAAGGACCGGGTAGGCTGGCTTCCTCCTCAACAGGCGTTGGGGTCCGTAGCTTCACATCAAGCTTTGATATGATACTTTCCGGGTCCAAAGGGATAGATCCGGCCCCTCTAAAACCTCTCTTGATATTATTTTCTGTCATCGTGGCTTGGTAGACGGCGTAAAATGCTGGGGAAAAGTCGGCTTTCGTGCCCATCGAGGATCAGAAGGCGATGGCGACCATTTGATCGGGTCTTTGTATGCCGGTCAAAGTGCTTTAACCACTCAAGGTCTGTCTTGTTGTCAGTTCAGCCATTTTGGGTCGTAGCGGTAGCCCAATCGCCTGGGAGATTGCTTTCTTGGTACCAGCTGGTGAGATGATATTGGCCCGCAACCACGAAGTCTCGGGGGAAGTCCTCGGGAGTCTAGGTCGAGAATATAGTCACTAATAGTTTGTTCCTCTAGATTAGATAGCTTTCGTGAATTAGGGATAATATCGCCTCGAAAAGGTTTCCCATGGTACCGATCATAGAGGGTACTAGGAGGGACTTTATAAAGCCGTGCAGCGGGTCTGATACGTAGTTTGGGATTATTTTGAAGAGCTTGAAGGGCAAGGATAATTTCCGCCTCTTTATTTGATTGTGACATATTTCGTGGTTAAGAAATAATTGATTGAATGTAAAAAGAGGAAGCTGAGGGATTTTGTCCGACTCGCTTGTGGGGTACGTTACCCTGAAAACGAGAACACATAGGAACCAACAAAACACCTCATCCATGCTCAGCGACTCCTGAAGAACTTCCACCGACAACGAAGGGTGGATCGATAAACTGCCCCAGACCAAGGGAATCCCATTCGGACTGTTCTACGATCGCTGACCAGTCATGAAAAGTACCCTCAGAAATAGCTTGTTCAAAAGCAGCGTTCTCGTCCTTCTCCGCCTGTTCCAACTCATCGATCGAGTTAAGCCCTCTGCGCAACATGTCCAAACCTTTGGACTCGACCTGTCGTCGCTGACGGCGCAACCGAGTAATCTGCGCGAGCTTCGCGTTCATTTCGTTATGGATACGAGTAGATTCTGCTTGCAACAACATGAACTCCCCTTCAACCTTCTCTTCCGCCTCTTCCAGACGACGCTGTTCTTTTGCAACCTTTCGAGCTGACGTCATCTCAACAAAGGTACGCAAACCACCGGGAGTAGAGAAACTTACCAGCCGCAACCGACAAACCTTCACTATCGCACGAATAATCCGCCTTGATACAACTGTCGCATCGACCAGAAGACATGGGAGACACGAGACAGGACAAACCCCGTTTCTCGCAGTTGAAACATGGCATGATGGCGCCACCAAAAGGTTCAATAACGATTTAAAGCGCTTGACGATTCTGGGTGGAAACACGCTTCTTAGTTACGGTTAGACATTGTGAATACTTAAGGAACTGAGTTTGACTTACCAACGAAAGAGGTCTTCTTGTAGGCCTTGAGGGCAAGACGACTGAGACTAGGGGATTCTGCAGGTAAAGTGAGATTCCTCATGGCTTGTTATCACAACGATAGGCATTTGACCTCAGTTC